GTGCATAAGTAACAGGCACAAAACTGTCATAATAGAAAAGTGTATGATGGATGAACGCATTGGAGACATTGGTTTTAATGTTGAAAAAAATGGATTGCAGGACAACGGGGGAAAATAAGTTTAAAAATATGGGAAAAGGGTAGATTAACATACTCAGGTCATTGTCTATGTGTGTGTCAAAATAAAGCAAATCTGTCCTGTTTCAGCAGGATTTGCACATGCTTAGTCTCCTTTATAAAGAATTTCAGAGGCTTTCCATGGATTTGCAACTGTGCCAACTATGCATTAGTGGGGCATGCTATTTAGGTGCCATTCTTGGCTCATTACATCAGGGGGTGGGGTTGTAGCGCCCACAGGAGAGATGCAAGAAGCCATCTTGTAAGTAGCCGAGAGAAAGCACAGCAGCAGCAGTTCCTGGTCCTTGTAAGGATATGATATAATATATTTTTCTGTCACCCAGTAGCATTAGTGTCTCTCTGAGGTCTATTTAAGCAAGGGAATGTTCTAAATATATTCTAATAACTTTTACACATCAAGTGCAACTAACAAAAAAGAATGCAAAATAGATTTACGTGTCAGTTCTGATTGCTAAATGCCTCATATATCTAGGATCTAAATACATTTTTGGCAGGTGACGCTTACCTTATAGCAACCCCTCCAACGAACCGTGTACCAACACTACCCTTAACTAAATGCTTATACTATCTCTAGCCATACACATACCCTAACCTTATCCCTAGTGTTAATCCTGTGGGGATATTTATGGGATAATAATAGTAACAGTGAGAATTGCCCACTAATTCAATTCTCAGATCCCAAAGAACGTTTATCGTGTTAAGTGAAAAGTATTTCATATAAATAATCACAATGTATAAAAATAGATTTTATTTATGATAACCAATAATTAACAAATAATATTATGTAACATGCATGACAATAATCAATGAATATTCAGTATAAAATGGTATGCAATACAAAGGAATGGGTATTACGTTTCAACGGCTAAAAAGCATTTTCTGTCAAGACTTTATTTATGACTATCTTTCACAGACTTAAAGTGAAAGTTTTCACAGCGAAGAACAGAATTCCTCAGAGTGCAGCGTAAGGTCGTAAAGTTTAGCAGACAGTTAGAATAACCCTTTCAATGCTGGCTAGATCTCCTAGGTAGTTAAGATCTATTCTTATGTAATTTTTAAATAAAATAACATTTAAACCAGTTTAAATTCATTACCTGAAAACAATCCAATAAGAGAATCTACATATTATATAAGCAGATTTTTAATTTGTCTAAAAGATATCTATCTTAATTTAGAGCAAATCAATACACCTGGATAAAAACAGCGGTATGCTAACACGTGATAATATCACATCAATATATAATTATTCTTAATTCCACCTGCAGAATGGAATGTTTATAACTATATATTCTTAGTTAACTAAGATTTCTTAATATGGAAATCTGACCGTGCTTTATCCAGTCATATATAATGCTATTAATACATTTAATTAATTTAATTAAATTAAATGAAACCAGTATAATTACCAGTTGAGTAGATATTTCATCCGATTGGTAGTCTCTCTGCATGGAGGTGTTGGTTAGAAAGTCAGTAAATTCTAAGTGTTAGAGTTTTAGGAGTAGAGTGTTAGTCTCAGATGTTATCTGAGTTGGAATCCCCAAACTTCCAATTCCTCTCTCCTCTCCTTTGCATATCTTGCATCTGCCTCCTTCTCTCGTATCTATCTTCCCTTTGTCTTAACTTTTAAAGGGCCAGACTCTCTGTACGTCATCAGTTGATAACCCAATAGAAGCACTAGGGGTGTGGTTATCTTCCAGATCGCAAATTAGGTATTTGGTCTATAGAGGGCAGTCTTGTCCCACTAAACATACCTATCCAGGAAAGAGTTAACTTTTCCTGGTGGCTATTTTGACGTCATTTTGCGTTATCTTTATAGCGCCATAATTTAAAATTTCAAAGGGTTTCTTAAATTTTGTCCAGACTTAGCGTCTGCAATTCCTGCCATAATTTCTGATATGACAGATCATGAACTAAGTTTACCCTTTTCCATACAATGGTACCTTATATATATAGACAGTTAAATATTAAATTATTTAATCTTCTCTGTCACAATTGTCTGGGTTTAGATTTGATTATATTCTTTTAGCATTAGACAGTCTGTCCAACCCCCTTCCTTATCACTTGTTTATACTATGCATACCTTAGATCTGGGAAAGTGGTTAGCTTACAGATAGAAATATAGTGTCTCTTTGTCTTTGTTAACTTGGAATAACAAAATGGAGTCTGGTCTGTTCAAAGTGACTCAGAATATACACTTTTAGTTTCTATCATAGCACAAAATGTCTGCCGATATAAATACTCTGACAATCCTGCAGAATCACTAACCCTAAAAGAGCATCAACCCTAACCCAGCATTAGCCATTACTTTACCCTAATACTAAATCTACACTTAGTATGGCCCCAGCTGGCAGAGGTGATCAATCATCAGATAATATTTGATACCTGGGTTCAGCGATGGGACTACTCCCTATGTGGCTGCATCAGAGTCGGCACGCTGAGCGGGGCCATCGGGCCATGGTCCGTCTTCCCGAACAGCCCACATGCCCGCAGCTACCATTTTGGTAATGTATTTGTTTACTTTTTCAATATGGTGCTGATAAATCTGACCTGCACTATTTAATACAGTGCTGCTACAAATAGTTATTTTGGGGCTGTAGCTTCTGTTTAAGAGCTCCTTCGTGGTTGTGGGCACTTCTCAAAGACTCAGAGCACCACAGCCAGCATTCTGAGTCATTGACTGAGCGCTGGGACTGCGAGGGAGCTCTTAACGTAAACTGTTCCTGATAGAGGTCTGCCCAGAGTGAAGACCACTGGACCAACACGGATAAAATTCCCCTCCTGCAAATATACCAGAGGGGACCAAATGCCTCTGCCTTTTCGCTGCGTGTGTGGGCATTAAGTCCCCCTGGTATATTAGCATAATAACCCCCACCAGCAGCCAACTGGTGGGGACATTACTTCCCCTTTAATATACTAGTATAATAGCGTACAACCGCAGCCTGGAGTGGGAACATTCAGTCACTCTCCAGCATATTATTTTAAGAGCCCCCACCCGCTGACAAAAGGGAGGGCTGTGAACGTGGAAAATAGGTCCCCCACTATATTATTATTATTATTATTATTGATAATATAGACCCCCCCCGGTATACTGCATACTGACCAAGGGTGCAGGCATAAGGAGACATTTTCTGCAAAAAAATTAAAAGTCCCTGTCCGCTAGCCCCAGATGGGGGTAGGGTGTTTAAAGCGATCTGTCCAGCCCCCTTTATTTTAATTTTTAATTCCCTCACCTTATGCTCTTACCCCCCATACATACACGTTATTTTATAACAGCTGCCCAGTCGCTAGTTTTAAACATTTAGTAGATATTTAAACCTCCCTTATAGTAAGATTGGGGCTTATTGGATATTATTATTTTTATAATGTGGCACCTGGCAAATAGGAAAATAGTACTTAAAATGATCTTTATTTGCAGAAAGCAAGTGAACAATAATTGACGAATGTGCATCCAGTTAGACTCCAAATTTGTTTAAAAGTGGTACATTGTGGGGGGCGGGGCCGGACCGCCAGGCTGAATGGACGCAAACGTTTTAGCATTAAAACAACAGCTTCAAGCTTACCTGACAACTGGCTGCTGAACCCCAGCATTAGAGGCCACCCTATTTCCGAGGAGAAGCTTGCTGAGAAGTTTTAGTCCCTCGGAGGGGCGATCCCTGTCATGCGATGAGGACCGCTCGGGCGGTGAGCGGGGTGGACGGCCGCTGCCCAGCTATCCTGCCCACCAGCGGTAAAGCAGAAACCCAGGGCTAGGCGGGTCAGGCCCCGTGCCCCCCCCCCCCCTGTGACCCATCGGAACACCACAACGCTGGCGCCCGGAGCAGAGACAGAGAGGGCCCAGCGCGCAGACCATTTTTAAAATGGCGGAGACCACGTGGCAGGCGACCCTGATGACAGCCAGGCGCACTCACATCTCCTGTAGCCTCATAAGTAGCCTATCGAACCAGACAGAGCAGGAACCGGCAAAAAGGGTAATAAGACCCCAAGAGCTGAACTAAGGAAGAACTATTACGGTATAACAGCCTACCTACCATACCATGCTGCACACAGTGAGGGAGCCAAAACACACGGACTGACCACCCATGGTAAACATGATTTCTGGAACCTCTCTCCAGTCTGAGACAAGTGCCGGACCGTTCTACTCACAAAGGGACTATGAGCAGGACAGCAGCCACCGAGCTTCCCGTTCCAACAGCCATGCTGCACAAAGGCTGGTCTCCTGGCAGGCAAACAATGATCCTCGCCTGGCTGACATGGGACTCTCTTGGGGGGGATACTCCACAGGCTAATCTTAAATGCTAGGGCTGTTTATTAGAGCCGCACATGTTTTAGTCCAAGCATAACATAACCTGCAACCACTCTCACAAAGCTCAGGCAGCCAACCAAGATGTATACTCGTTATTTTTTTTTAGATCAATTGATGTTTATTAGAGTATTTCTCAAAACGATATGCAATACAGTGAGTAAACAGTTAGTATTCAGTTAACAGATAACGATACATGAATTCAGGCATAAAAAACCTTCCTCCACTCCCCCCCCATCGAGGCATTCCCTTCAGGGCGTGGGCATTTATGCATTGGCGTGTAAAGTTCCCTGTGCCCAGCTCGGGGTTATCTACCGTCGTTGAAGTTTGCTACAGTACATGAGTGTTGTAGCGTTTGTTTCAGCCTCAGTACTCTGTCCTACCCCGTAAGGATCCCCTTACCTTTTCTCGTTATGGGTGTTTAAGGCCTTTTAGGTGTCTCGGTGTTGTGCGTAGCCTATGTGTAGTTTGCCCTCTTCTGTCGCATCCCCCATCCTTCCCCCCCCCCAACTCCCACCGGGCAGCGAGAATGTGAGTGTGATAGCCTGATCTTTGTCCTCCGACCCCGTATGTCCGAGAGTCAGAACCGTGTACTTGACCTCAGTACCGTCTCTCCCTAGTCATATATCCCCTCCAGGGTGTCACTGTTATCGCGGATATGCCCCATGGTGTGTGATTTCACCCTGGCAGACGAGGTGCATGGTTCCTCCTTCCTACAGTGTGGACTTGGAAGCACCCATGGCGTCCAGTCTAGAGTTCGGGTGTAGTTCGACGTCTGGTCTGTGAGCTCTATAGAGCTGAGCTTCTGCGTCTGGTAGGCCTCTAGGGGTCTGGTAATGGTCGTCTCCTCATAAGCACCTGGGCTCCAGGGCCCACCGTCTGGGATTATCTCGGTCAGGTTGTTGTATTCGCTTTCCCCCCCGCCCTTCCTAAGTTTTCGGTCGGTCAGGTCCCAGTCCGTGGAACGTCAGGACACATCGCATCTCCCCTAACTCTATCTAGTTTCCAGTTGTGTGCCGCTGGTGGTGCCCTCGTGTGTCCCACACTCTCCCCCCAGTTAGCCTATCACCTGACACGGAACCATCCGTGCCCCCACGGTTCTTGCTTCTGCGCAGGTGCAGCCGCCAGGCAGCGAGGCCCATTGTCTGCTGTGTGGGTTCACTGGCCCGGGGGGTGATATATCAGCTGCAAGCCGGGAGAAGGTCAGGCAACGAGGGCGGTCGAGCCCGCCCGGGCCGCACCCAGGGACAGAGCGCGTAGGGCGCCGGAAGGGGGGATCACCCCCTCCAGGGATATACTTGTTATTTTAGTTAGCGTAAGAAGAGCTTATTTGCTATCATTTAGAACTTTAGTAATAGCAGTCATCAACTACTCGAATGTCAATGTTATATCTAACAGGATAAAAAATGCATACTCATTTACTGTAGTCACTAGTGTGTATCGGATGTTAGAATACACAATCAATAGACTCATCAACAAAGTAACAACCAATTACTTATGTATGCACGGTTTAATTGATTTATACAAATGCTACTCAAGCACTCTAAGCGTGTCATATTATAAAAATTAAATGTGCTGTAAACTCTGCCATGATATTGTATACCAATGCATAGCTGGTACTCGCTGTTGTGGCGTTACGAGCCTGTTTGTAAATGTAAGCACAAGAAAAATAAAGAATTTAAAAAAAATAAATAAATAAAATAAAATTTAAATCCAAAAAAATAAAAAGTGGTACATTGTGAATCTTCGAAATCCTATACTTTGTTTAGGATTCAGATGCTAAAGCACTGATTTTAATCTGGACAGCTAATGCATCGGAGATTCACTCAGTCCTACTGAATTTCATTGCCGTCTGAATTTGGTCATTTTCATCTGATTTTTGTCCATCCAGGCAAACGCTGGTGTTTAGTGAATAACCCTGTTAGTTTGTTTTTCTAATGTGAAGGAAAACATCGTCTGTGGCTGATCTGTAAACAGTTTTAAGGTTTTATAGGCATTTTGTGATACAGTTAGCTTATAAATGTAAGAAGAAAAAAAGGCACACAAGTTGTTTGTAGCTAAATATTGACAAATTGTCCTTACCACACACTGGCCGGGTTAAACATTAAACTAAGAATTGATAGAAATTAAGCAGGGAATTGGAAAAATAGCCAAGTCAGAAAGTTGCTATTTTTGGCCCTAAATGTTCTGAACCCTGGTCAATTCTCCATTAAGTGCATAAACTCTAATGTGGTATATTGTAAATGATATGGAAACAGTAATTTGTCTTTACCCCCTTTATCTAGCCATAAAATATAATTATGCTGGATTCAAGATAGCGGCATTTTATTCTGTCTGCTATTCTCCCTCCTAAAAAAATAAAATAGAAATTAATCAAATAACTCACCTTTTCTCCAGCGATGAGTCTCCTTTTGCACACCCGCAACCTCCTCTTAGTGTTGCGTCATCGATGACTATATAGAGGAGCAATAAGGTACACAGAGGTATGTGTGTTGCTCTCCGCGAGGCACTTACAAGTTCAATAATTCTCTATGGAAGACAGTGACGGCACTACGCCAAGAAGCTCAGTCCTGGCTCTCATGAATGAACAGCTTCGAGGTGTGGCTTGCAGTCATGCTTTCAAGCCTTTATTTACTAAATTATTGACATTTGCAGCCACTAGAGAAGGGGAAACAAATGTAAGCACTATAACAACTTTATCTAGATTAAGGTTTTATAGTGAGTACAGTGTTCCTTTAATATTAGACCTGCAAAAATAGTTATATTCTATGTAAATCTCATTGCTGTCCCAGTTCTTCCGGTGTCTGTGTGTGAGGCTGGACAGGAGAAGGGATCACTTCCCATCTGCTTACCAGTAACCTCTCACAGAGGAAATGCCTTGCAGGAGGATCAGGGGAAGCTTTATCTGATACACACTACATACACAGTGTATAACTAGTCCTGCAGCTCTAATATCATCAAGCGGACTGGTCTAGGAAAGACATAGGAATGAAATTACTTTGCAAATAACCATTCAAACAGGGGGGAAAAACACTCAAAGCCTGGATCTAAAATAAACGCTTTACCTTAGTCCGATGTTTAACTCCTTTTAAAAACTAAAACCTCACACCCCCCAATTATAAATGTAACCCATTAAGGACCAAACTTCTGGAATAAAAGGGAATCATGACATGTCACACATGTCATGTGTCCTTAAGGGGTTAATCCAACTCTAACATATTTCCCAACATTTTAAACACTGTATTTTGTGGGTTTTTAGTGCATGGGGCTGTTCTGAGAAATTGTTATTACTAATAATTTATGTAACTAAATATAATTTAGAACAAGAACAATGTATCTTATTTACTCAGAATGTTTTCTAAACACATTTATTGTAGTTTAACCCCTTAAGGACGGAGCCAAATGTACACGTTGTGAACAAAACAAAATGTAAACAAAACCTGGCATTTGCGCTACATGTCTGTCCAACCGTAATACACCTCTTTCATAGTAAATGCACCCACCCTTATTATATATCATTTTATTCAGGGGAAACAGGGCTTTCATTTAATATCAAATATTTAGCTATGAAACATAATTTAATATGAAAAAAATGGGAGAAAATACGATTTTATTGGATTTTTTTAGTTCTACATGACATTTAAACGGTCAGTGTCATAATACTGTTTGCTTTTACTGCAATAAAATACACATATTTGTATTCAGCAAAGTCTCACGTGTAAAACAGTACCCCCTATGTACAGGTTTTATGGCGTTTTGGGAAGTTACAGGGTCAAATATAGCACGCTACATTTGAAATTGAAATTCGCCAGATTGGTTACGTTGCATTTGGGACTTTATAGTAGCCCAGGAAAGAAATTTACACCCATAATGGCATATCATTTGCAATAGTAGACAACCCAAGGTATTGCAAATGGGGTATGTCCAGTCTTTTAGTAGCCATTTGGTCACAAACACTGGCCAAAGTTAGCGTTAGTATTTGTTTGTGTGTGAAAAATGCAAAAACTGCCAATTTTGGCCAGTGTTTGTGACTAAGTGTCTACTATAAAAGACTGGACATACCACATTATCAATACCTTGGGTTGTCTACTATTGCAAATAGTATGCCATCATGGGGGTAATTTTCATTCTTGGGCTACCATAGGGTCTCAAAGGCAACGTAACCAATCTGGCGAATTTTAATGTGAAAAAAATGAAACGCAAGCCTTATATTTGACGCTGTAACTTTTGAAAACACATAAAACCTGTACATGAGGGGTACTGTTGTACTCGGGAGACTTCACTGAACACAAATATTTGTGTTTCAAAACAGTAAAAAGTATCATAGCAATAATATTGTCCGTTTAATGCTGTTTGTGAGTGAAAAATGCAAAAAACGTCACTTTTACTGGCGATATCATCGTTGTAATACATTTTACTGTTTTGAAACACTAATATTTGTGTTCAGCGAAGTCTCCCGAGTAGAACAGTACCCCCCATGTACAGGTTTTAGGGTGTCCTAGAACGTTACAGGGTAAAATACAGTGCTAGCAAATTAAATTCCCTTTACTTTCGGCATGGGTTGTCATGCAGGTCCTGCTAATTGTAATTAATTAAGATACCTAATTATGTAAAAATATTACATAAATATATATGTAGAATCAATATATGTATATATATACGTATGTGTATATATATGTATATATCTATATAATTTTTTAAAAATATTTTTATTTATATATAGGTATATATATAGTGATATATACGTATATATTTATGTGTATAAATATATATATTATTTCGTCTATGTGTATTTTGATATATATATATATATATTAATTTCACAATACAGTTAGAACGAAATAACACACATCTATATATTTTTTAATTATTTATTTTTAATTATTTTTGTAATTTTATTTTTTAACGTATTTACATTTTAATTTTTTTATAATATATATAAATATATATATAACAATAATTATATATATATTTAATCAGTATCAGTGTACGTGTAATTTGATATTAATATATATATATAATTATATATATATTAATAGTAAAATACACCTAGACGGTGTACATGTGTGTATGTATATGTGTATATATATACTTTGATCATATATATATAATATATATATATGATCTAAGTATATATTATTTATTTTTTTACACTATTTATTTATTTCATTTTTATTTTCAGCCAGCAGGGGGACCACCTGTCATTACAGGCAGCCCCCCTGCTGGCAATACAGAAGCCAGCTATCCCCGGCCATGTGATTGTGGGGTCCTCGCTAGGACCCCACTCTCACACGGCCGGGGGGCTTCCTGGAGGACGGTCGTGCCGCGGGGGGCTCCCTGGGAGTCCCCCCCACCGCGATCGCCGGCGTGGGACCGCCGGCGACCGGGTAAGTACAGAAAGACCGGAGGGCGTACTATTACGCCCGGCGGCGTTTAGAGCCGCCTATTAGAGGACGTAATAGTACGCCCTCCGGTCTTAAGGGGTTAAAAACACACCACTGAGAGTATTATTGCTGTGGAACTCTGTTATACACTCAGACACACCAACAATATGGACTTCCTGGAGAGGGACATTAGGATAGAAAAGGAAGAAGGATTCGATGCCAAAATAGGGACTGTCCCTCCTAAACAGGGACACTTGGAAGGTATGTTCTAACCGGAAACGCAACAATCCTAAACAGCCTTTATACTACAACTTTAAAAGAATACTATAGGCCAGGGGTAGGCAACCTTTTAGCAGCACTGTGCCGATATAGGATTGTGAAGTCCCGTAGCGTGCCGGTGCTTTTTTTTTTTTAATTGAGGTGTGTATGCTGCCGTATTCTGCTTGTTATTTATACGATATCGCTGAATATTTGTGCGTATATGAGCTATTATAATGTGTATGTTCACAGGAGTAGTTTGTGGTATTGTGTATGATACATATGAATGTGGGCTGTGTATGGGGGCTGCTTGTGGAATTGTGTGTGTGGATGGATATGTCACGTTGTGTCTTTGGTAGTGTGTGTATATGTGGGGGCTGTTTGGGGTATTGCATGTGAGAGACTGCATGTGGGGTTGTGTGCATGTATGTGGATTGTTAGCAGGTTAATTTTCTGCGGATTGTGTGTATATGTTTGTGGGCTGTTTGTATTATTTGCATGAGGGGAGGCTTATTGTGCATTTCTGTGTATATTTAGCAGTGTGTTGCTTCCCTGGGATCCAGTGGGGACCAGGCTGGCCAGGTACAGGTCGAGGACAGGAGCTGCAACAGCAGCTGCTCTACTACAGTGTGGATTCCCATTCACTATGCGCTGCAATGCATAAATTGAGGATTGTCTTTCACCACCTTTTTGTATTAGCAGGTATCTGAAGTTTCACTGGGACTCCTGACAGGCCAGAGTGTTTGGCTCTAGCAGCCTTGAGTGCCGTGCAAAGACACCTCGAGTGCCGTGCATGGCACTAGTGCCGTAGGTTGCCTACCCCTGCTATAGGCAATAAATAACTTTCGTTTAATGAAGCAGTTTTGGTGTATAGATCATGTCCCTGCAGTGTCACTGTGTAATTCTCAGCCATTAAGGAGTTGTCACTTTTGCTTCTGTTTATACAGCCCTAGCCACACCTCCCCTGGCTGAGACTGACACAGCCTGCATGAAAAATTTGTTTAATTTTCAGTCAGATATATTTATCACCTGCTCTGTAAATAGACTTTTAATCACACAAAGGAGGCTCCTGCAAGGTATAGAAGTCTATTAACATAGCAGGAGATAAGAAATAATATATTAAACAGACTGTGCACTAAAGGAAGTTTAAACATTAGACTTCTCTTTACAGGAAGTGTTTAGGAAGGCTGTGCAAGTCACATGTAGAGAGGTGTGACTAGAGCTGTATAAAAAAAGTGAATTCCTAAATGGCAGAGAATTGAAAAGAGAGACTGCAGGGGCATGATTGATACAACAAAACTGCTTCAATAAGCTAAAGTTGTCTTTAACCAATCTCAAGTCTCGGATCTACCATTTTCCCAACCTTGCAAGGTAGTATTTGTAAGCAGTGTTTGCACGTTTGAATGTAAACATGTTTTTGTATGGACTATGTGTATGTAGTAGTGGATTTGTATGTACTGTTGCAATTTGAATAAAGATGTGTGTTTGTATGTAGTGTTGGAATTCAAATGCAGGTGTGCATTTGTATGTAATGTTGGTGTTTGAAAGCAAGGGTATATTTGTTCCCTGTCACGCATAGATACACTCACATACTGACATAGGTATACATACACACTAACACACACAGAGACAGACATGCACACTGACAGATACACACATTGATACAAACAAGTCCTATTTTTAGTCTCCCTCCTGTTTCCATATCTTTTGGGTGTATGAGGGTGGCTTCCCTGGGGCCCTGCAGGCTAAGGATGATGGAAGTCTGCTTCTTCCTCTCTGCATCCAGTCCTTCCTGTTCGCTGTTAATTGGGAGGATGTGATCTGCCCTCAGGTCCTCCTAGCACCATCTGACAGGGACCAGGTGGTGCTGAAAAGGGAAGGGCCCCTAATCAGTGATGCCCAGTGAGTGTCCCTTACATGTAAATCCAGCCCTGCCACCCAAGTGTACCTGTTTAGGAAGAAGAGTCCCTATTTTGGGCCCATAAGTCTATGTCCCTCTTTTCTGTGACCCTCAATTTTGTTTGTATGTTTTAGTGTATAACAGAGCTCCACAGCATTAATACTCACAATAATTTGTCTTTAAACTACAATAAGCATGTTTAGAAATAACTCTGGTGTAAAAAAGATACATAGTTCTAAGTTACATTTTAACCCCTTAAGGACCAAACTTCTGTAATAAAAGGGAATCATGACATGTCACACATGTCATGTGTCCTTAAAGGACCACTATAGTGCCAGGAAAACATACTTGTTTTCCTGGCACTATAGTGCCCTGAGGGTGCCCCCACCCTAAGGGACCCCCTCCCGCCCGGCTCTGGAAGGGGGAAAAGGGGTAAAAACGTACCTTTTTCCAGCGCTGGGCGAAGAGCTCTCCTCCTCTTCTCCTCCCATGCGGCTGAATGCGCACGCGCGGCAAGAGCTGCGCGCGCATTCAGCCGGTCACATAGGAAAGCATTAGCAATGCTTTCCTATGGATGCTTGCGCGCTCTCACTGTGATTTTCACAGTGAGAATCACGCAAGCGCCTCTAGCGGCTGTCAATGAGACAGCCACTAGAGGAAATAGGGGAAGGCTTAACCCATTCATAAACATAGCAGTTTCTCTGAAACTGCTATTGTTATGAAAAAATGGGTTAACCCTAGCTGGACCAGGCACCCAGACCACCTCATTAAGCTGAAGTGGTCTGGGTGCCTAGATTGGTCCTTTAAGGGGTTAACTACATAAATTATTAGTTAGTTAACTGCAATATCTCAGAACAACCCTGCCCCTGGCTACATACCTCACTCAAACCCTTACATTTAACCCCTTAAGGACCAAACTTCTGGAATAAAAGGGAATCATGACATGTCACACATGAATAAGGGGTTAAAGTGACCTTCAATTGAAATTTAGTGAGATATGCTATTTGGCCCTCTTATCCAGAGCACAATTCCAGTAGAGTTAAATTAAACTCTTGGACCCCGTCGTGTCAGTATTTAAATACAGTTCTCTGTTCTCTACAAAGTAATTTTGCCTTAATGATCTTATGTTATAATCTTTCAAGAATTGATCCCATATAAGTAAATCTTGTTTGATCTCAGTAGTAACTCTTATGTGAACAAAGGAAGATTTAAAACATTGAAGGGCTAGTGACATATTTCTAGATAATTCCCAGTTTACTGACATAACTCTACGATGAAAGCCAATATACCTTACAGTGACTAACTTTTTATTGAGGAATAAACTTTCCATTACAAAAACAATCAAGCACTTGTACACTGATATTGCATAGATTAGTGAAATCACATCAGTATTGGATATGACATTACACATAACACATAAGTGTCGTATATTAATATCATAGACTATACAATTTACATCTGTCCAACTAGTGTCCACAAATCCATAAAAGAGGATAAAAAAAAAAGGAAAATAAAAAAGGAATAACAAAGTGAAACTAATAATAAAACTGGTGGTGGTTTTAAGATCACAATTGGTCAGTGGTCTTCCCATACCAAGAGTGGCAGAAAGAAATGGCAATATTCTAGAACAATATTCCATATGGTGTGTCCTCAGTTACACCCCAACCAGACGAACACTGGTGGATTATGGTCAGGGGTGGGTGTCAAAATAGTACAGCCACGGACCCCAGATGTTTAAATATTTCTGCCTAGGGTCCAAAGTAGAACTATGAATATCCTACAACATCCGTGCAGATTCTACTAAGATAGAGAAGATATCCCGATCTGTCACCCAAATACAGGTATGAAAATAGTGGAGTATAGAAGATGGGCTAAAAGTATATATATATTTTTTCTGGAAACACTAGAGGCCATGATTGTAATATGTTACCCTGTTTATTCTTGCAGCCTAATGTGTGCATTTCATTTTTGTTTTGTTTGTTTGTTTTCAGGATAATTTTTTCAGGTAATTTCAGCTCCATCCTCACCGAACCCCAGTGGTAATTGTCAATTTCAGTTTTCAACTCAACTATTTTAACTTAAATTTGGAAATTCCCTTTAAATGCCCATCAGTTCCTATGTTTAGTGAATACGCCCTCCACACCTAGTACAACCTACTATTTTTTTCACACCTGTATCAGAGATAATTATTTATGATGATAAACTAAAATATGTATTTTTAATCTGATTTTTCTGGGAGATGAGGGTAGAGTTAGATTCTTACAAACATTTTAATTTCCTCAGTGTGGCAATACTTTATATACTTACAGTCAGTGGTGTACTTTGAATTTGTGCTGCTCTAGGCATGACGGAACTCAGGCACCTCCTAATTTAAATTTGCCCCACCCCTTCCTGTGAAAGCCACACCTCTTCATGTTAAAGACTAACACACGCTTTGACTGACATACATAGACACACCGATTCACTGACCAGCAGACACTCTCAGATATACACTGGCAGAAACACATACTCACACATTCACTGATTTGACGCAATCTGACAGACACACTCAATTCCTGATTTGGCACAATCTGACAGACACACACAATCACTCAGCCATGCACTGACATGCACGCACACACTCAATGACAGACACACACACTCACAGGCACACACTGATAGACATACACACATTCACTGACAACAAACTCACTGACAGACACATCTACAGATATAAACACACATTCACTGACACACATACACACACACTCATTGACAGACAAACAAACTCACTGACAGATACACTCACTCAGACACACTGACAGATATAACCACACATTCACTGACAGACAAACACACACACACACACACATTCCTCCCCCAACATTTACAAATAATTATTTACATTTATTTTCAGTTAAATCCATCCAGCCTCACTACCTTTGTGAGAGCTGGGTGGATTTTTATCTGGGGTCCAGTGGGGCTGCTGGGCGGGCAGGTTGGAGATCAGGCAGGCGTGCAGGATGGAGGTCAGGCAGGCAGGCAGGCAAAGGGGTTGGGTGCGCAAAATAGGTGGCGAGGGAGCTGTGATCTTTCTGCTCAGCTCCCTCACGCGTCACGTAGTGATGCCGGAGTGATGACAAATTCCGGCTCCCAGCATCACTGCGCTCCCTCGCCACCCGCACTTAAAAGAAACTGTCCGGGCGCCCCATTCTTGGGCCCCCATAAGTCAGGGCAAACAAGGTATATGCCAGGGCACTTGGTGGGGCAGAGTTTTTTGTCACCCCCTGGAAAGTGCTGCCCAAGGCAAATGCCTTGTTTGCCTTGCGCTAAATACAGCGCTGCTTACAGTCTTGTTTTGACTGCAGAGCTTCCTTCATACAGGAGGTAGACTAACATTTTTCATATATGGAATTGCTTGCTAAACTGGAAATTGTTTCTAAGGTTTCACATTAGATTATATATCAGAGGGCTTTAACATTGCCGTGTAGAATAGTGTTGTCTTATTAAATCAAACTTTGAATTGTTGGAAATTTAACATGGAATGGAACACTATAAATTCAAAAAAAGGGACAATTCTCCAAGTCAGCTATATTTCCAACCCACTGAGCCCAGTTATTATGGTATTAAATCTGTGATTCTGTGATGATTTCTCAACAATATATGGTTTAGTGGATAACCTTGAGAATGTAAGCCAAATATACAAACGAATTATACATTCCTGAGACAAACACAGACTAAGACATGCCTATTGTGCCATAGAATCTTCTGATTTACATAATTAGTTGTGGTGTTGCGATTACTAATTAAAGTGAGTGAAAGAGTACTATTTTTTAAGTAAGAAATACTAAAACTATATAAGAAAATGCTCATATGAGTTGACTAAATTTGAGCCACCATGAAATAGAGGTGTAAGAGCGCACTCTAGGGGATAATTACAAATATACACGTTCTAAATGTAGTGATATTATTATTTTTATTAGCATTTATAGAGCTTTACAATTATAGAATGGGGATATTTGACATACAAAATACTGATAGGAACAAGAGGTGAAAAAGGCCTTGCTCAAATGAGTTTATAAGCTATAATCATCATAAAACGTCAGAACACCATCGCTTTACCATAGCAACCTCCTTTCCAGTCAGTGATGTGCTAACCAGGAGAATATACAGGCACCCATGATTGTCTAACTCTGCTCAAAACAAGAGAATGGTGTCTATTTACTAAATTACAGTTAATTAAAACTGTACTCCTAGATATAATAATGCTTTTAGTTTGCTGAACTCATGACAAATGTCTGATTGTACTATTTTGATAAATAGTAATATAGGGACTATAATGTGAGGCTTACGAGAAGTCCCTTTGTGAGAAAAAAGAAGAAACTAGATAAAGATAACTGAATAGAGACAACACTAGGTTGGAAATAGATGGGAGATAGAGACATTTATTTGTATTACTTTATCTACAAGAAGATAAGAAGGTGAGAAAGGAGATTAGACAGTTTATGTATAGATTCAATGTATATTGATTGTGAAGACTTTACATGTTTATTGCTGTCCCCTTAAATAGTAAGATAGTCTTCAACTCAGGAACTGTGATCCTTCCTTAGCCGTTAAGTCATAATAGGTCATTCCGTGTTGTGATGTTATAAATCATATCTGCTGCTGTAAGTGCAGGAACATTCTATTTCCTCCCAGTTCTAACTAAGGATCTGACAGAGATTCACCTCTGTTTCTGGGTCTCAATGGCATACAGATCAATGCCTCACTTGGATGTGGCAGAAGACTTGGAAATTGAAGCTACTTGCGTACCCATTATCCATTAGTGCTTCTTCAAAGGGGTTGTAAGTATTTTGTGTGCTGTATTAGGATTGGAAACAGGAAAGGAAATTGACTAGAGTACAACATTATTTTCCCCAGTATCATCTATAAATTGCTTTACTTTAGTAATTTATCTATATATTATTACGTCCGGCTCTCTGCCAGGTTAAACAACTACATAGAAACATAGAATGTGACGGCAGATAAGAACCATTCAGCCCATCTAATCTGCCCAATTTTCTAAATACTTTCATTAGTCCCTAGCCTTATCTTATAGTTAGGATAGCCTTATGCCTATCCCACGCATGCTTAACCCCTTAACGACCTAGGACGGTTCAGGACCGTCATCGGCATTTTTGCGCTGCTGACCGGTGACAGTCCTGAACCGTCCTAACGGTGCAATGTACTTACCCGATCGCCGCCGTTCCCCCGGCGGCTATCGGCGTTGCTCCCGGAGTGGGGAGACTGCCTGCAGCCCAGACAGACTCCACATGGTGGATTAGGATCAACAGAGCGATCACATGGTCACAATAGGTGTCCATCTGTCTGCCTGCAGGGGGACTGTCTGTGCTGACAGGCAGTCTCCCTGCAACAGTAAAATAATTATATGATATATAGGCATATATTATATCTATATATATGTCTATGTATCATATATAGTCATACTAAGTGTTTTTATATTAATATGTACTTATATTAATATAAAAATTACACATACGTGTGTACTTTAATTATAATTTATAAAAATATAAGTAAAATAAAATGTAAATACAAATTTAAAAAAATTATACATATATGAAATTTTATTCTAACTGTATTTTGATATTAAAATATCTATATCAAAATACACTTAGAATGAAATTGTGTATATCTATCTATATCTATATCTATAAATATATATATCTATCTATATCTATATCTATAAATATATATATCTATCTATATCTATATCTATAAATATATATATCTATCTATATCTATAAATATATATATCTATCTATATCTATATCTATAAATATATATATCTATCTATATCTATATATATATATCTATCTATATCTATATATATATCTATCTATATCTATATATATATATCTATCTATATCTATATATATATCTATCTATATCTATATATATATATATATCTATATATCTATAAATATATATATATCTCTATATATATATATATCTATATATCTATAAATATATATATCTCTATATCTATCTATATCTATATCTATAAATATATATATCTCTATATCTATCTATATCTATATCTATAAATATATATATCTCTATATCTATCTATATCTATATCTATAAATATATATATCTCTCTATATCTATATCTATAAATATATATATCTATCTCTCTATATCTATAAATATATATATCTATCTCTCTATATCTATAAATATATATATCTATCTCTCTATCTCTCTATCTCTCTATCTCTCTATCTCTCTATCTCTCTATCTCTCTATCTCTCTATATCTCTATATCTCTATCTCTCTATCTCTCTATCTCTCTATCTCTCTATCTCTCTATATCTCTATATCTCTATATCTCTATATCTCTATATCTCTATATCTCTATATCTCTATATCTCTATATCTCTATATCTCTATATCTCTATATCTCTATATCTCTATATATCATATATCTATATCTATCTATCTATCTCTATGTATATATAAATAATACGAAATATACATATGTCCATATACAAAATTACAAAAATAATTATATAAGTATACATGTAGACTTCAAATATATAAATATGCATATATATTTAAATTCTACGTGCGTAATTATGTAATATTTTTACATAATTAAGTAATTTTATTAATTGCAATTTGAGGGACCTGCCTGCCAACCCAAGCCAAAAGTCCAGAGAATTTAATTTGCTAGCACTGTATTTTACCCTGTAACTTTCTATGACACCCTAAAACCTGTACATGGGAGGGTACCGTTTTACTCAGGAGACTTCGCTGAACACAAATATTAGTGATTCAAAACAGTAAAACATATCACAGCGAATATATTGTCAGTGAAAGTGACTTATTGCATTTTTCACACACAAACAGCACTTTTATTGATGATATAATTGTTGTGATACGTTTTCCTGTTTTGAAACACTAATATTTGTATTCAGCGATGTCTCCCGAGTAAAACAGTACCCCCCATGTACAGATTTTATAGCGTTTTTGAAAGTTACAGGGTCAAATATATGGGTCAAATATTTTTACATTGAAAATGGCCAGGTTGGTTACGTTGCCTTTGAGAGCGTATGGTAGTCCAGGAATGAGAATTACCCCCATGATGGCATACCATTTGCAAAAGAAGACAACCAAAGGTATTACAAATGGGGTATGTTCAGTCTTTTTTAGTAGCCACTTAGTCACAAATACTGGCCAAATTTCGTTTTTTATTTTTTTCCACACACAAACAAATATGAACGCTAACTTTGGCCAGTGTTTGCAACTAGGTGGCTACAAAAAAAAATAAATAAAAAAAAAATAAAAAAAATAAAAAAAGACGGGACATACCCCATATTGAATACCCTGGGTTGTCTACTTTAAAAAAAGAGGGGGGCGTGGTTCCGGCTCCGACCAAGATGGCCGAGTAAAGAACAAGCTCCGTCCCACCAGACCCCAATATAGCGATCACGGCAAGCAAACTCAGCTTAATGGGGCGCACTAAATGCCCAGAGCAGCCCCAGATCCCAAGGATAGCCTCCCAGGGCCTGCTGGACGGTTATCTGCAGCAGCAGCCAGGGGTGAGCGGAGACTCTGGCAGCCCCAAGATGGCGGCGGCATCCACTCCGGGACAGGGGATGCCGACCCTAGACCGGATTGAGGGCACCCTGAGGGACCTGGCAGCCTCCATGGCGACAAAAGCCGACTTACAGGTGATAACTACCACCATCCAAGATACACTGCGGACAGAGATCATGGGGATCCGTACAGAGCTCACCGCGCAGGCAGGCCGCATTGCCGCGACGGAGGAAGCGTGGCAGCCACTGATAATGCTGTAGCACGCCAGGGCGAGATGCTGCTTTCCATACGTCGACACCTGGAAGATGTAGACAATAGAGGTAGGAGACGCAATATCCGGGTCCGTGGGGTACCAGAAATCGAGGGGCCAGAAAACGCAGAGGCTCTACTAACAGAATTATTCTGCTCTCTACTGCTACCATCCCAACCGCCAACTATAGAATTCGAGAGGGCGCATAGGGCCTTGCGGCCTCGAGTAGCTGAAGAAGGGCCGCGTGACCTAATATACGGTCTACACTCATTCCCGGTGAAGAACACCATCATGGCCAAAGCCCGGGAAAGACAGAATTGTCCCTTTAGGGGAGCGCAGGTATCGCTTTATAATGATTTATCCCCCATAACGTTGGAAGCAAGGAGAGCCCTCCGCCCGGTTACAGCAACATTGCGAGACCGCAATATACCATATAAATGGGGATTCCCCTTTGCACTAATGGCCAGACACCAAAATAGATGGATCACCATGAGATGGGCAGAAGAGGTACCACAGTTCATGGGGGAATTGGGCCTCCCCTCACAGTCGGTCCCCAACTGGATCCTGGGGGCACTAGGCCTGCAACCCAGACCACAGAGAGGGCCCAGACAGCGTGAGGTGAGAACTCTTCCGGCTCACAACAGCAGAAGACGTGGAGATCCGACTTCCCCGGAGGAGTGATCAACCTACCTACCTACGTTCAAGACCACCGTATATCGCCCCAAGCTAACACACCCACACCAGCACCCGGCTTCTCCTGTTCACGCAATTGTCCATAGAGGGCTGGACCCCAATCACTTAACGCCCGCAACCCACTCCTACCTCCTGATGTCGAGATGAGCAGAAATGGTGGACGGCACAACCACAGGTACACTGGGTTAGTGTTCTGGGACTTGGGGCTTTGGGAGGGGAGATCCTGGGTTTAAGGGCACACACGGGAGCTGATATACACCTGAAGCAGGCATGCGGTGCGGGTCTTTGGGCCACCCCCTGACTCTCTACCGTGGTTGTTGCCCGACACGGGGTGGGCACGAGACACCTTGGGGGGGAGAGGGACAAAGGGGGGCAACAGACAGCAGATACCAACAGCCTGGCTGGATATTCAGCACAAAGTCAGAACATCCTGGACGCAAATACGGTGATCCCCCACAGATGAGGACACTAAATTGGGACACTTGCATTTAGACAGGGTAACTTTGATCCAGGGAGCTGGATGAGGGCGGGAAGGGAGGAGAGGTAGAGGGGAATAATCCTAACTGTTAATGATGCATGCTAATATAACCTGACGCTGACCAAATCGTATTCACTGCTATTCCTAATTTTACAGGCCCATTGTTTCCTAGAGGCATCAGATAAAAATAGTTTGTAGCACACCAACCGGACCCCAGGGAAGATAGTGAGGACACACATACTGTTATATAACCTAGACCTCAGTGCTTACAATAACGCAGACATACAGATAATTTAAAGCCCTGACCAGCATATGCTGCAAATACCCACTTGCGTCTGCCTGCCTACTCCAAGCTATGCACCCTATTCAGCCCTCACTTGCTGATACAAACGCACATAGGTGCGCCTTCCCCCCCACCCCCCTTATAGGTACCAGAGAGAATAGGGATGGAATGAAGGAAGTGAGTATCGTATAAATTGCACATGATCATAGGAGCTGGAGCACTAGGGATAGTTATAGGACGAGTCAGGGTGCTGTAACCATGACACCACACCAATACTGGATCTGAGGAGGCCACCACTCCACAACCCTGTGGATATGGGAAGCTGACGTGGGGTGACCAGTGCGAATGGACGTGGGGGTGGTGTTCACTGCTGGGGGAGAAACGAATGGGGAATGACGGGACGCTCTGGATTAGGGAAAAGCTATCCCAATCGTGACACTTGTAAATATGTTAATCTGTTAATTTGACGTTAAAGCTTATATGCCTTGAATGTGAATACACAATACATGTTAGCTGCAGCCACTCACTCAGCTATGACTTTGGGGGTCGCGACAGAGAGGAGAGCCCCATATATACTCTTTGACACCTTATCTGGGCGGAGCCCGAGTCACGTTCCCTAACACATACACTCGCGCTAAGAGGTCTGTGGCCAGGCTACGGGGTACCTCGTCTCTTGGGCTGGTACCAGAGTGAGCACCTGTCAGTGCTGGTCACTGCGCGAGACCTCCCCCTACTCTGTAGAGGGAGTCCGGATCATTACCGGAATCCGAGGGGGTACCTACACTAAAGGCTATACACCTCCTTTTAGATCTTAACTTTCACACAATACATTCGGCTCCATACTCGGGCACTGGGCCCTGGACTCTAGACTTGTTGCACCTGTCGCAACCCCCTATTTACGGCTCCCCCCCATACGCTTAACCCTCGCCTCCTTCCACCTCCCTCCCCGCCTCTCGGAAACGGAAGGGATTCATGCATGAAATGGTAGATTTGTATCACTCTATATCGACACTGGAACGCCAACACAAACGCTCCCAGCTAAATGCAGTTTACGGAGAACTGATGGAACACAGACGAAAACTCAAAGACCTAATCTTGAAAAGGCATCTTAGAGCTGTACAACGCACAAAGAGCTTTTACTACGTACACGCCAATAAAGGAGGTAAATACCTGGCGAGACTGCTGAAAGGTCCTTTGCCCCATAGATAAATACGCAGGATTCGCCTGGCCTCAGGGGAGATCTCCCCCTTTCCAGAGAAAATAGCAGGGGAATTTCGGGCCTTTTACGAGCTCCTCTATAATTTGTATGCGCCTAAAGAGGCCACCGAAGCCACGAGAGAAAATGGAAAAATACAGGACTACCTATCCAACACAGTCACAAACACAATCAATCAAGACTCGGCGACACTGCTGGACACACCGATCACAGTGGAGGAATTAGCCGCAGCCCTTAAGTCATCTAAAACTGGCAAGGCTCCAGGCCCGGACGGCTTCTCCACGGGATACTATAAAAACTTCTCGGGAATACTGTTGCCCTGGCTCACCAAGGCACTCAACTCGGTAGGTGAGGGAGGAGACTTGGGTGGGGAGTCCCTAACAGCCACCATCACAGTCCTACTTAAACCAGGGAAAAACCCAATCCATTGCAGCAGCTATCGACCGATTTCGCTACTAAATGTGGACGCTAAATTGTTCACGAAAACGCTAGCGACCAGAATTAAACATCTCCTCCCCGATTTGATACACGCGGACCAGACGGGATTCATCCCAGGTCGAGAAGCTAGGGACAGCACCCTACGACTTTTCTCTATCCAACACCACGCGAGGAAATTGGGGACCCGGTTGCTATTGTTATCAACAGATGCAGAAATAGCATTTGACCGGGTCAACTGGACATATATGCTGGCGACACTAAGACGGCTAGGCTGTGGCCAGAGACTCCTTACGTGGATATCTGCCATTTATAGCAAACCGCGCGCATCTGTACGGATCAATGAGGCCACGACCGCGGACTTCGCGATAAATAATGGGACCCGACAGGGATGCCCACTATCACCGTTGCTGTTTGCAATGACCCTGGAGCCACTACTACAGGCAATCCGCCAAAATCCGGACATATAGGGATATAACTGGCAGGAAGTACAGCACAAAGTTGCCGCATACGCAGATAACCTCCTTTTCTTTGTCCATAACCCTAGGATCACAATACCGTGCCTCCTCTCTGAGTTTAACAGATTTGGCCAGATATCGGGATTTAAACTTAACATCTCGAAATGTGAGGTCCTGAATTTAACAATCCCCACAGATGAATACCGGTCTTTAGAACCGGAATTTGGGTTCCACTGGTGCCACGACAAGATGAAATATCTGGGCATCTGCGTGACCACAAACCTGGGGAATATATATCAATATAACTTTACACCCTTATTAAAGAATGTACTCGCAGACCTGTCCAAGTGGTCTCACCCTCACATAACATGGCACGGGAGGATTGCGGTGATTAAAATGAATATTCTCCCGAGAATCTTATATCTCATGCAAACCATACCCCTCGCAATACCACCAACCTTTTTCTCCACCCTGAAAACGGCAATGATCAAATTCATCTGGCGGGGAGGAAGATCCAGGATTAGACACGACATTATCTGCCACCCTAGAATTTGCGGAGGTCTAGCACTACCAGATTTTAACAAATACCATCAGGCCACGATCATGTAACACAACACAGACAACTAAACAATGGGTGGTACTCGACAGGGGCCTCATTGGACCAACGATGGAGATGAAAATCTGGGGGGGGTCCTGAAAGATCGCTCACCCACCCTGCGGAAGAAGGACTGATCCTGCAGACAATACATGGATGGAAAACACTGAGGACTCAAGACCACGTATCCCCCATGCCCAGCCCAATGATACCGATCACGTATAACACAGCCGTTGGGAGGGGGGGGGGGGACTCCCTCCTGCAGCATTGCCCCTCCAGGATCCTGGGGCATATATACCCATACATAAGGCACTCGAGGACGGGAGACTGCGGGACCTCCCCTTGATGTTAGGCGATAGACCGCGGACTCCTATCCTCCAATTTAGATATCTACAACTGAAACACTTTTACGATTCATTCCAGCACAAAGATCACTTGCATAGAGACCTCACGTGGTTTGAGGGCCTCTGCGACCGAGGCACCAACATAGAACATGCAATCTCGGCTTTATACCAACATCTTCTAATCGGAGGCACACCTACAGCTACTACGTTCAAAAGACAGTGGGAAGAACATTAACAACACAGCAATGGGATACGGCGTTGCTCTGGCAGCATAAGAGCTCTATGAGCTCATACTACCAGGAGATGAACTACAAGTTGATCTCTTTCTGGTATAGAACACCAGTTTTTGTGCACCGCATATTCCCTTCAATTCCCCCGATGTGTTGGAGGTGCCAGGAAACACGCGGCACAGTGCTGCACATATGGTGGGAATGCAGGGTTATCATCCCATATTGGGAAATGATTAGAGAAACGGTGATGCTCATCCTGGGAGACTTACCGGAATGGAATGCGGAATTGGCATTGCTACACATCTCGACACAACCCATAAGATCATATAAGAAATCGATACTACGACACCTGCTTAATGCTGCCAAGGCCAATATTCCAGTCCACTGGAAAAAAAGTGAAATCCCGACCAAAAAAAAGAGTGGATCCGTAGAGTGGAAGAGATCCAAGGAGCAGAAGAAGCACATGCTATTGTAACTGGAAGAGGGACCAAGCACACGGAGATGTGGACACCGTGGTTCCTATACATTTCTCGCTACCGAGGAGACGGAGACGCATGGGGGCCCGCGGCGGGGGCGCAGGCTGGGTCGGACAGTGCTAGAGGGACCACACCCTAAGTGGCCCGACCGCCACTGTTCCTCACCTCTTCCTTACCCCTTATCCTTGTTCACCAGGACCGAGGAGAGTGGGAGCCGGGGCCGAGTGGACTGATTGTGGGATAGATAGCCAACACAACATTTCACAAGGATTACAGGGAGGCACAACGTACATTAATAGAGGGATACTAATAAATACACAGAGATTTGAACAAGACCCGAGGACACGGGACACAATGTGGCTTAGATACCTGACGAGTAGACAGGATTATGACACACCTGTGAATAAATAACACTGGATAGCCGCCAAACATATCTTTCTCACGCACTAGGGTAACACTCAGGCTAAATAGCACCACGATAAGTACCACACCGGGGCCAGACACGAGTACCCGGCTACCACAACTGGGCGAAGGGACTCCCGAACGCTACACGAGCTCAGCCATAGGTAACAATCAAGGGAATACCAGTGTTCCGAACAATGAATACCAGTTATAAGTTCCCGTCTTTAATTGTTACACTGAGAACTGTATTGTCATACAAGAATTGGATATGCTTATCTCTCACTTTGGGGTAAGAGTAACTAGATATGCACCTCGGAAAGTCAATACGGACCTGCGTGTCCACTCATTTCGTAAAACAAGCAGACTCATAGGCCTGCAAGCTTTGTATGTTGTGGATTTTTTTTCTCTCTCTCTCTCCCTATCTTTCTTTTTCATGGATTACCAGTTTTTCCTACCCCTGTTTCACTTATAATGTATGCATACCTAGACCTGCGAGTCTTAAAACTGCTATAACTGCTGATTCTCCAAATAACTGAATAAACATATTTCCAAAAAAAAAAAAAAAAACACTTTAAAAAAAAAAAATATGTACATGTGGGGTGTTATTCAAGGATATAGGACAGGTAATAGTGTTACAATGTCACTAATTGAAAAAAATTTATGTTTTGAAACCGCAATATCCTTCTTGTACCTATAGCCATATAACTTGCAAAAAAAAAGCAAAAAAGCATGTAAACGCTGGGTATTTTAAAACTCAGGATAAAATTTTGAATCTATTTAGCAGTTTTTTTTCCCCATTCGCTTTTGTAGATGAGTAAAAGATTTTTCAAGTAAAAGTAAAAAATTTTTTATTTTTTTCAATTTGTCATCTTTTTTTTTTTTTAAATTAAATTACATGAGATTATATAAATAATGGTATGTAAAGAAAGCCTTTTTTGTCCTGAAAAAAAAAAAAAAACACAATATATAATTTGTATAGGAACAGTAAATGAGAGCGCGGAAAATTACAGCTAAACACAAACACCACAAATGTGTAAAAAGAGGCCTGGTCACAAAGGTACAACATCGCAAAAACAGTCCAGTCCTTAAGGGGTTAAACTACCATTTCAGCTGGAAGGCTATCCCATGTATCCACTACCCACTGAGTAAAGTAATACTTCCTGATATTATTTTTAAACCTTTGTCCCTCTAATTTAAGACTATGTCCTCTTGTTGTGGTAGTTTTTCTTCTTTTAAATATAGTCTCCTCCTTTACTGTGTTGATTCCCTTTATGTATTTAAATGTTTCTATCATATCCCATCATATCTATCATATCCCTCCTGTCTCGTCTTTCCTCCAAGCTATCCATGTTAAGATCCTCTAACCTTTCCTGGTAAGTTTTATCCTGCAATCCATGAACCAGTTTAGTAGCCCTTCTCTGAACTCTCTCTAAGGTATCAATATCCTGGAGATACGGTCTCCAGTACTGTGTACAATACTCCAAGTGAGGTCTCACCAGTGTTCTGTACAATGGCATGAGCACTTCCCTCTTTCTACTGCTAATACCTCTCCCTATACAACCAAACATTATTCTAGCATTTCCTGCTGCTCTATTACATTGTCTGCCTACCTTTAAGTCATCAGAAATAATCACCCCTAAATCCCTTTCCTCATATGTTGAGGTTAGGACTCTATAAAATATTCTGTACTCTGCCCTTGGGTTTTTACATCTAAGATGCATTATCTTGCACTTATCCACATTAAAAGTCAGCTGCCAGAACCATTTTTCTAGTTTACATAAATCATTTGCCATTTGGCTTTTCCCTCCTGGAACATCAACCCTGTTGCAAATTTTTGTGTCATCAGCAAAAAGACATACCTTACCATCAAGACCTGCAATATCACTAACAAAAATCTTAAAGAGAATTGGTCCAAGTACAGATCCCTGAGGTACCCCACTGGTAACTAGACCTTGTTTTAACCCCTTAAGGACACATGACCTGTGTGACATGTCAGGATTCCCTTTTATTCCAGACGTTTGGTCCTTAAGAGGTTAAATATACTCCGTTGACTACAACCCTCTGTTACCTGTCCCTCAGCCACTGCCTAACCCATTCAACAATATTGGAATCCAAACTTAAAGATTGCAGTTTATTGATAAGCCTTCTATGTGCAACAGTGTCAAAAGCCTTACTGAAATCTAGGTAAGCAATGTCTACTGCACCACGCTGATCTATCATTTTAGTTACCCATTCAAAAAAAAAAAAAAAAAATCAATAAGATTAGTTTGGCATGATCTCCCTGAAGTAAACCCATGTTGTGTCTGATCGTGAAATCCATGTGATTTTAGATGTTCAACAATCCTATCCTTTAACGTGGTTTCCATTACTTACCCCACTACTGAAGTAAGGCTTACTGGCCTATAGTTGCCAGACTACTCCCTACTACCTTTCTTGTGAATAGGCACAACATTCGCCAACTTCAAATCTGCTGGGACTGCTCCTGTTAACAATGATTGGTTAAATAAATCTGTTAATGGTTTTGCTAGTACACCACTAAGCTCTTAATAGCTTTGGGTGTGTTCCATCAGGGCTCATTGATTTATTTGTTTTACTTTTGACAGTGAAAAAAAAAACCTCTTCCTCTGTAAACTCACATGTAACAAATGGCTCATTTGTCCTTTTCCTAACCAAGGCCCCTTTCCTTCATTTTCATCTGTAAATACAGAACAAAAATATTAATTGAGGGAAGTCAGCTAGACCTATATCCTCTTCTACATACCTTCCTTCTTTTGTTTTTAATCTAACTAATCCTTGTTTTACTTTTCTTTTCTCATTTATGTATCTAAAAAACGATTTGTCCCTTTTTTTTAAACTGACTGCTTTGGAAGTTCTTATAATTTGCTTAGACTCTTTCTGTCTAATCTTATAGATCTGTCTATCTTCACTCAGAGGTGTTTTTTTGTTTTTGTTTTTTATAATTCCTAAATGCTAACTTTTTGTTTTTTACTATTTTGGACCCTTCTGCAGAGTACCAGAATGATTTCTGTAATTTTTTGCTTTAATTGCAAGCCTAATGCAATTTTCTGTTGCCTTCAGTAGTGCATTTTTTAAAATAATCTCATCTTGGACTCCGTTTAAACTGCTCCAGTCTGATAAGGACTCCTTTACACATGTTCTAATTTTAGAAAAGTTTGTTTTTCTAAAGTCTAAAATGTTTGTTTTTGTGTGGTGTGACTCAGTCACTGTTCTTATATTAAACCACACTGACTGATGATCACTGGATCCTAAACTTTCACCTACAGTAATATCTGATACCAAATCTCCATTTGTTAACACTAAATCTAGTATGGCTTCCTTAGGAGTTGGCTCCTCAATTACTTTTTTTTTTTTAGAGACATCCCAGTAGGGAGTTTAGAATATGTGTGCTCCTGGCACAAGCAGCGGTTTTGTTTTTCCAGTTCACATCAGGAAGATTGAAGTCACCCATGATGATAACTTCCCCCTTCATTGTCATTTTAGCCATTTTGTCAACTAGTATATTATCTAACTCTACTTGTCCTGGGGGCCTATAAATCACACCTACATGAGTTACTGTGTGATTACCAAATTCTAAAGTAACCCAAACGGACTCTATGTTCGCCTACTAACTTTCACATACAGGGCCACCCCTCCCCCTTTCTTGCCTTCTCTGTCTTTTCTATATAAAAAGAGTACCTTGGTATTGCTATGTCCCAGTCATTTCTCATTCTAACATGTCTCAGTAACAACTAAATCTACATTATCAGTTGCCATTATTGCCACAAGTTTATGGATCTTATTCCCTAAACTGCAAGCATTTGTAGACATGACTAAGCTTATTTTTTAACACAAACCATTTTTTTTTTTTACAGTTTATTTTCATTCCAAACAGAGCTACCATGAGAAATGAAGCCAAATCCTTGCTCCTGACACCATTCACCAAGCCATAAGTTAAAGTCAGTAATACGCATCTGCCTTTTATTCCGAATGTTATGCACAGGCAGAACTTCAGAGAATGACAGCGTGGAAGCAACCTGCTGTATTTTATTGGCAAAAACACAAAACACTACCTTTACCTCTGAAACCTCATTGCAAGCCAAGTCATTTGTCCCTAGATGGACAAGTACATCCAATTACCCTTACTGCTTTGTTAGCTTAACAATATTTCAAATACGTCTCCTGTCTCTGTGAGCAGTAGCTCCAGGAAGACCTCTCACAAACCCACTATTGTCCAGCTCAACACTTCTTATGATAGAAAGCAGTTGATTTTGGGGAGTGGATTCTATCAGGCCTCACCTTATCCTTTTTGTCATTAGCTGCAGTCTTGCACAACTTTGACATAGAGGATGGTGGTTCCACAAACTCTGTGCCTAAGCCTGCCTCCACAACACCACTACCCTCGGTGCCTGAGCCTGTCTCCACAACACCACTGCCCTCGGTGCCTGAGCCTGTCTCCACAACACCACTGCCCTCGGTGCCTGAGCCTGTCTCCACAACACCACTGCCCTCAGTGCCTGAGCCTGTCTCCACAACACCACTGCCCTCGGTGCCTGAGCCTGTCTCCACAACACCACTGCCCTCGGTGCCTGAGCCTGTCTCCACAACACCACTGCCCTCAGTGTCTGAGCCTGTCTCCACAACACTACTGCACTCTGTGCCCAAGCTTATATTTATAACACCACAACAATAAAAAAAAAATTGCTGAAAATGAATTCTGTAGAACAGACTGTACAATATGCCTTTTATTATTATTATGATATTTATAGAGCGCCATCAAATTCCGCAGCGCTTTACAATGGGTGGACGAACAGACATGTAGTTGTAACCAGACAAGTTGGACACACAGGAACAGAGGGGTTGAGTGCCCTGCTCAATGAGCTTACATGCTAGAGGGAGTGGGGTAAAATGACACAAAAAGGTAAGGATAGTATTAGACTAGTGACAGTTGCAGAAGAGGAATCAGTCAGAAGCTATTAACAGTTTAATTGATATGCTTGTATGCAGAAGTGTGTTTTTAACGATTTTTTTGAAGGAGTGGAGACTGGGTGAGCATCTAACGGAGGAAGGAAGCGAGTTCCAGAGGAACGGTGCAGCCCTCGAGAAATTTTGAAGGCGAGCATCAGAGGTGGGAGTACGGACAGGAGATAGACGTAAGTCTTCAGCAGATCGTAAAGGCCTAGAAGGGACATACTTGTGTATAAGGGAGGATAGATATCCACAACTAAGTCTACCAGATCCTACAGTAATCCATCTGCCATCCCTAGGACATCTCTGTGGCAGTGGCTTTGCAACAGTCCCAGCCTGAGCTTAACAGAATTTATAAATCTCAGACTTCAAAAATTACAATCTCCTCCCACAATATAAAGAACGGTCTACAGATTAGACAGCATCCAAATCTCCAAAAAGTGGAACGTGAAATAAATGCATAACAACTATTACATTGAACCAAGTCTGCCATTTTAATGAGGAGTAATTTAAACCAAACAAATCTTACCTTTTTGTCTCTTGTATACCCAAGATTCCCTCCAGTTTATCTACAGAATATCTCCAAGCACACACTTTGAAGCAGCAACCAAGCTATATTAGCCAATCTAATGACTACAACCCTTATATAAAATTCCTAAAAGCACCACCCACTAGGAATATTTAACACCTGGGTGGGCCTATGCTTATTTGCAAACATTAGCGAATTAACCAACAATCAAACATAAGGGATGTGCATTGGCAAACCATTTGGTTCGGCAGTTCCGATATTCAGGAATTCCCCAACCCTACCCCTACTAGGGTTAGGGGTAGGGTTTAGGTTAGATTCCTGTACTCATTCCCTTAATTTTCCCTCCCTCTCCTGTTTTGCCACTTTTCAGAAATCCAAAGCACTTCGGCACTTCCGAAATTTGGCAATTCGGAAGCATCCGAATTGCCAAATTTTGTCCAAATTTACATTCGGAACAAAACGAATTGCACATGTCTAGCAAACACCTAGCTAATCAAATCAAATGCCTTACCAATTACCAACAGGAAATCAAACCTTGTGCAATCATGAACCTTTTCCTATAGAGGACTCTTGCCTGTAACCGTAAAAAAAAAAAAAAATTAGTTGAAAAATCAGTAAAACACTTCAGAATGTCTATCTCCAAGCACACACTTTGAAGCAGCAACAAGCTTATAAAAGTAAGCCATGCATCTAGTAAATTCTCTGTATTTGCCTCTTAATGCCCAGACGGAAGGCAGTCCTGCCATGGTACCCTAGAGGTTTCCTCCACAGGGGTCGAGGGGTTTCCTTTCTGGAGTGCTGCAGGATGACTCTTTGGGAGTCCAGAGGTACCCCACATCTGGACAAATTTGTATTAATAAGATTCTGAGATATCTTGGCCCTCAATTAAGAATGAAAAAATTATATTAATCCTTTTATTCTTAATAAATGTAATTAATTTATATCTGTTAGTAACTTTACAACTGATCAATTCATTGGTTTGATCTAGGTATGTAAGAGGGAGGGAAGCTGAAGAAGCTTCCCTAGCGGAGAGGTGTGCTCAATAGTGCAATCTAGCCAAGTTTATCATTGTTTATTACATGCTTTTCCAAAAAAATAATAAATAAATAAATTAATTGATAAAAAAAAAAAAAAAAGGGAGTTTTGCTTTGCTTGCTTGTCTTAAAACAAAAAACAAAAAAAAAGTCAAGTGATGTCCCTGTAATATAAAAAGTTATTGGTAATTAGGTATGATGTTCCCAGTAGTGCATACTTAAAGGGACTCTCCAGGCAGAGGATTTTAATCACCTGGTTCCAACTCTGGGAGCCTCATGAAGCCGCGCCCCCTATTTCATCAAAATGACGAAATAGGCGGGCGCGAGCGGGGAGCAATCAGATGCTCCCATTTGGAAGCGTCATTGCTCCCTTGTGCGCATGCGCGGCTTCACAGGGTGGCATTCATGAGTGCACTACCGCGCATGCACGCGGTCGCGAGCTGAGCTGACAGCTCAGCTTGCGGTCTTTGCCGCCCCCTCTCCTCTGCTGACAGGCAGGAGAGAGAAGGCGCGCACACAGTGCCTTCTCTCTCCTGCACACGTCAGACGTATTTTAATACGTCTGACGTGTACAAGGCCTTTTTAGGGCCCTACATGATAGGAATTCCCTATTGTGGCAGTCTGATAGGAATACCTCCAGTGTCAGTCACTCAATCAATGTAAACACTGTATTTTCTATGAAAATACAGTGTTTACATTAGATTGCCTGCAGGGAGCTATAGATCTCACCTGAACAACTACATTAAGCTGTAGTTGTTCAGGTGACTATAGTGTCCCTTTAAGCAGTTGTGATTAATAGTTCATACATTTTAAAGAAGATAGAAAACATTGGGGGGGGGAGTTATATCTAAAAACAGCTTGCAAAAGCTACAGATCTCTTGTCTGCAGCCTTGGCAAGCTTACCCTTCCTTCACCAGCTCATAATTTCTGAGACTGTCTAATTACCGACTTCCCAATGCAGCTGAATAAGCAGTCTTTGCAAGAAAAGTTCTCTCAGCAATTGCTGCTTCTGTGGTTTAGCTCCACTGAGTTAAACAACTATGAAGTAACAGAACCCGTTGTGTGATTGGAAAGGAAAAAAAACAAAAAAAAAAACACTACTTCACACAATTTGCTAGAAGTGTGTTTCGAATATTCCTTTAACATATAAATTTTTTTTTTTTTTTAATATTGCCCCTTTGTAAACCTCATAAATAGAATCATCCTTTTAGATTTCTACATAACTACTCTAACCTAAAATTCTGCTATTTGGCTTTTGTTTACCAACAATTCAGGGGTTCGTGAATAAATCCCAGACACACGAACAAAAACGACACTACTGCTCAAATGTATGAATTAAATACTCAGTGAAAACTGAATGAAATGTGGAAAGGGATTACCCTTCAGTTTGTATGACATTGTGACTGAAAACATTCTTTAAACTATCAAAAAAAAATAAAAATAAAAAAAAAACACAAAAAAAAAAAAAAACAGTCTAGTTTTTTTTGGTATTTATTTTCATCAGGACACATAGGTATGGCAATTAAAAAACAGTTTCCCCTCGTCAGTCATTAATCATGGTATGCCAATATCACGTGTCCATACAAAAAGGCACTCAATGAGGAGAGCTGAGAACTTACTACGTTGAAAACACCAGCAAGATCTTAACAGTTTATGCTTGTTACTCAGTACTCCAAAAATGCTTTGAGCGGCTCATCTTTGCTCAAACTTGGTCTTCTACAGAACAGGCTGAATAGTTCCAGAACACTGTCCAAATCCAATACGATAATCTTTTCCTTGGCAGTAACCTGTTGAGATGGCACAAGTATGTTAAATGTTCTATGAGGCCCAGAGATTGTTGTTTTTTTAAGATTATGAGACATACGCAATAAAAAGTGTCATATTTAAGACATTTTGCTGTTACACTAGCTTATGCATGCTCTTATATGTTATCCAACAGTCACCAAACACAGCTGTACCTGTTATAACCACTGTGTCTCCATCTTTCAAGAAAGTCCTTGTATGACCATTTCCAAGGTCAATTGGTTTGGATCCTCTCCAAGACAGCTCCAGCATGGAGCCAAAACTCCCTGGATCCTGCCAGAAATACATAGAGTGAGATCTAGGAAGTGCTATTGAGAATCCGTTCAATGCTTGTGATCACCTTCATAGGAGTTTGCAGCACATTACATTCACCTGTGCACTAAGAGAAAACCGATCTATTTATATCTGCATTTTAATCAGGCTTTCATAGGAAATGGATATGTTAGTTTGTGGAGAACCCTATAGTGCGTCGCTTTAGTAGTTGGGTTATCTTGGCAACCCAGTTTCTGGATAGGAGTTTTTCCCCCCCAAATGACAACCCAGTATTTTATGCCTTAATGCTAGCCTTCCACCAGAAGGAGGTGATTTCATAGTTTCTAATTAGTGTGATTTAAAAAAAAAATATATATATTATTTTTTCTTCGTATGCTAATTTTCTATAGTTCTATTTCATCTGCAGCAGGTGGCTATAGCAAGTCAAATTAAACTTTATGATGCTGTCTGCATGTTACACATTACATATTTACTACGCATTTCCCCTAACACTTCATTTAAAAGAGCACTATAGTGTTCAGAATCCAAAGTGTCTTTCTGCCTCAGAGGAATAATTAGGCCTTCCACATAGGAAAGCATTAAATCAATGCTTTTCTAAGGGGATTTAGAAGACGCTGGATAGCCACATGCAAAGCAGCAAACTCCGTAGAGAGCCACCAGAGGCAGTCTTAACCCTGCAATGAAAACATTGCAGTTTCACTAAAACTGCAATGTTTTAAGATGCATGGTTGAGGGGACTTGGACACTGCACCCAGACCCCTTCAATGACCTGAAGAGGTCTGGGTATCTGCAGTGTCCATTGAACCCTTTCCAAAACCATACCATCATTTCAAATGAACAAAGACGAACACTTTCATTCTAGGAGAGGGAATGGGGGTGTGGCCTGGGCTGTTCTGAGAAATGTTAGGCTACGCGTCAATAAAGATTGACGTAATTTGAAATCAGTCTGTGTAAATATCATACATTAACCTGTAAATTAGAACAAGATCAAACACATTACTAAAGACACCTTACTGGGAGTATTATTGCTGTGGAGCTTCCTTCTAGAATAGTTACTAAAAGAATGTCTGCCAAATGCCTAACTTAACGATGACAACATAGAAGAATTCTTCTTTATAGTATGGTTTTTGGCTGTCAGTGCACAGACACAAGTTCTTCCAAAATCTGTACTAAATATTCAGTAAATAGATTAGATAGATTAAGACACGGAGACAGAAAGACTGCTACACAAGGTGCTGGGTCTCTAGGCATCTAATATTATTTTAGTATATAAACATATTAGTGTGAGGCTATGTTGGATCATCTTGATCATTTCTTAACGGGTGATGGAAGTTCATGAACAGTTGCTCATGCTTACAGGTCCACTTATGGTTCCAGATGCCAAGAGATCTCCAGGCCGGACATTGCAGCCAGTAACGGTATGATGAGTTAGTTGCTGTTTCATGGTCCAGTACATGTACTGCAAGAGAACAAACATGACCACAGTTACACATTATGTAGGGGAAAAGAGAGTACAGAAACTGGGGTTCGGGGGGGAGGTTATATACACATTATACAAGTAACGCAACTAGAAAAACGAGTCTGTAACCGTAGCATGAACTTCTTGATCAAACAAACATACATGTTGGGAAGTACTATTCTCTATATACGAGTGTTAACACATATAGAAATCTATCTGTACACACTCACATACTAATACAAGTTAAAACGTGGTTAGTGGATGAGAACAATAAAACATCAAAGTTGTTGGCATGGAACACAACACACTTCTTGCCCAAATTAAAGAAAAAAAAAGAAGAAGAACAAAACAAAAAAACAGTTATAACACACAAAAGCAAACTTCAAGAGCAATGTCTCAAAACCAGCAACCATGAACAGGAATAGGACCAGTACAGATGGGAGAAGGTAATGGATGCATGGTAACTTAATTTGTAATCTTAACTACAAATATGTGCCCCATTAAGTTACAAATTAATACAGAAGACATAGTGATGAAATTGATTATTCTCAATAAAATATTCATCACTAGTATAAAATATTATTAGTAATAAAAAGTGTTTATGGCGAACATTTGCAAATCTGAATATTTATTAAAGTGTATTAGGATGTTGTTAGTGTTTTTTTTCAAACTGGTACTCTAGCTTCTTTCAAAACCTGAAAAAAAAAAAAAAGTTTACAAGGTACACATGTTAAAAACATACCTTGAAATTTGATTTGCATATGGAAACGGACTCTTTCATTCCATCTCCTGCTCAGAAATAGAAAATAAAAGTCAGTAGATGCATCATGTAGATAAAAAAAAAACAAAAAACACTAGGAAACACATGAAAACATGCATTTGTAGGCATCGAATCACATGCAGACACTCGGAATGGACACATCTGACACGCTGTACATGCCAAGCTTGTATACAGAAACCATATACAGGGCTGTTGGTACTAGCACATCCCTTGTAAAAAAATCTGTGTGACACTTTGAATATGCTTTTGATGCAATCATTGCCAGGGCCTCATTGGAAAATATGACTGAGTGCATGTCAATTGATGGTTGGAGTGTGGATGTTCAGTTGTATTGTGATGCATTTAAATGCTATCTTGCTTACTCACAAAATCTTGTGGGTTTTTTTTGGTTTGGTTTTTAATTTAAAAAAAGTTATTTCTACATTATTGTGTTGAAGTGAATTTTTACACACACAGTCATGCATCTTTAGTACTCACTAGAATGAAGAGGGCTAATGTGTTTGGACTTTCAGCACCTGGGATACTTCTAGCAGTGAACTAGCTAGATTTCCAGTGCAATCACATTGAAACCAGAACCAGAGACAGAACGGAGTCCTGTCCAAAGTCAAACAGGATAGCCCAGTAGAACTGGGAGAAAAATAATTTTACCAATTATCATTGTGGTAACTAAAACACTTTGGTACTGTGCATTGAACCCTTTGGAGGTGTGAAAGCCAACATGCCGTTTCCATAATGCAAGATTGCTGGTTACTAGCAGACCATTCAGGCTTTGAATTTACCTTGGATGCTTACATCAAGGTTTATATTGAAGGTGTAATCACTTTCATCCCGGAGGTAAGGCAATGGTACAGGGTCCTACAAACCAAAATTAACAACAAACTATACGTCAGTAAATTAGACAAATTCGGTATGGTTAAGGAGCACCTCAAATTTGGAATATACTATATACTTTTATATTATGTAGTATTTTTTTTTACCAAATGTAACCTGTGTCTTAACATATCGGAGGGAAATAAGAACCCACTTACCTCCACCACTACCACTATAAAATTCCTTTTAAAAAGTTACAAAAAAGGCTTTTGATACAAGTGAGCTTGGCCCTCATTGGTTGGGAATTCATTGCAACTGGAGCATGATCCCTTAAAGAGACTAAATATGCACCAAGACCATGTCATCTTATGAAATGATGTTTGCCCCTGTCCCCTTAACCATGCAGCAGGAAACATTGCAGTTTTAGTGAAACTGCAAGGTTTACATTGCAGGGTTAAGACTGCCCCTGGTGGCTCTCTAGACTCTACCAGAGAGCTTCCTGGCTTTCACAAAGTTCAAGTCCCTTAAACAACACAAGACATGGAGGGTAAAGAGGGGAAAGCAAGAATGTTTAGCGCTCCATACCACTTGTGATTTTAACCCTATGTTTGTATGTTTCGGTCTGAATAAGTCTGAAAAAGTTATCCATAATCAAGAAGGATTTGATTTATTTTTTTATCCTGCTTTTGTGAATGTGCTATCCACACGAAGTCCTTAATTTACTGATTCCATACACCTGATGACCATGTTCTCTTTGTTGTGATTTTTGTAGTCTTTAGTTCCTTTCTGTTATAGAAGATTTATTGAGAGATACAGAAGGAGCCTCTAAATAAAACAAATGAAGGGTATTTTTAAATATCGGTAGTAAATATTGTTTATGAAGTATATTACTTTTATATTTTTGATGTCTGTAGTGCTCGGGGGAACAGAGGTTGGCATAGTTGAGCTTGTATCAGACGTATCATTGAATTGCTTTGTTAAACTTTGTGTGCCAAAGTTGTGAGGTCTCTAGACAGCAGTGTTAATTTTGACAGCAAATTTCAGATTTCGTTGTCTTTTGACTCAAAAGCTATTTTAATTTTAGTTATATTTTAGTCATCTGAATTGTTTTAGTCTAATAAATCTCCAGTAGATTTTAGTTGACATGACTAAAATCTAATGGGTTTAGTTAAAGTCTTTTTAGTTAAAGTCTCTTTTGCCTGTTCCACAGCCCCTCTGTGCAGTGTTAATTTTTGCGGCAAATTTCAATGTAGTTTTACGCATAGTCTTTGGTTTCAGTTTTAGTCGTATTTTAGTCATCTGAATAGTTTCTCCAAAAAAATGTGGTCAGCTAAAATTGTTAGTCAACAAAAATAACACTGCTAGGCAGGTTACCTTCTCATAAGGATGGTTAGTAGGGCCAAGCATGCTCAGGATTCCACATCCACTGTCTAACCTCTGGGCCCTAGGGTCGTATTATGGTTCATGCTGGCGATACATGGCTTTTCATTTTTGCTATGACAAGACTGAAAATAATAGGATAGCCATCAATTTTACACACATTGCCCACTAGGGGGAGAAAGGGATGGATAACTCAAAGTACATGCCGTTTTCCCAGAATTACAAGGGATTCCTAAAACAAAGTTTAAAAACAAAAAAAAAACACTGGCTTCTCTGAAAGACAGCAAGACATTTATCACAACAGATTGTTTTCTTAATCATGAAACCGCCTCCAGCAGTTTCAATGAAACTGGATATCAATTGTGGATTACTTATTAGGGAGAAAACATTTTTTTTTTTTTTTTTTAAAACAGCCACTTGCCTTACATTTTGTAACTCATTGACCCACAAAGTCAATTTACACTCACAGCAGTAACATTCACATTCATCATTAGCAACAGATTAACAGAAAAGTGATCAGGATCTGCAATCAAACACTGACATATGCTGTATAAATTGCTCTCTAGCTGGTGGAGCAGATATTTAATTAAGGGTAGAGTGCAATATCAATCAAAATTAACTAGATGGATTAGAATTGATCAGCAAACTAAGATAGAAGCATAAATTGAACAGTTTGAGGTTTATTCGCCAAGCAATGAATTGGAAGGAACTAAATACCAAATTGTAGAGCATAGGTAAGAATTTATGGTTAAAAAAAATAAAAAAACAAAAATAAAAAATAAAGTCCAACTCCTCTATATAGTTACAACTCTGCTGTTTAAACCTGGATTGCAATTTAGTTTTCAGTACATTACAAGTTGGGTTTTTTCATGAAAAACTATTTTGTAAATAGTGCCAAAGCAAAGTATATCCTCACACAAGCCAATACCTTTCTTATAAAACACTTTGTTGAGTGCAAATGGGAGCTCTAACTACTGTCCTGAGAATTGTTAGGAATTCAAAGTAAAATGTAAAATTTACGGCAAAGTAAAGATTAAAATCCAGTTTGGTTTGAAATTAACTTTGAATTCCTGACAATTTTCACTTTAGTGAATTATTTCATATGTGCCTTCCTTGTGTTGTCAGGTCTCCACTTCAGCTATCTTCTGGTATTTTATCCCTACAGTCCCCAGTAAGTTAAATTTTACTCCAGATGTTCCTCTTTCTATCACTCTAAATCAAATTAGTCTTCATCTTTGTTATCCAGAAGACCGTTCTAGAATTTTATTGATGTACTTTTTAGTAAACTAACATGGCTGCTGTGTTCTTGAGGCGTACCACATGGTGGTAATTTTTTTTTCCCTTCTTTTTTTTAACTGTAATCCCAGCGAGGTTATACTAGACCCGTCTATTGTATATTTTGACATGTTTATGTCTATCTGAAATAAAAATCACTGTTCAGGATGTAAAGGAGATTCTTTATAATATTCTTTGGTGTTCCACCACAAGTAAACAGGCAGATTCTACAAAATAATGATACTAAGATTATCTACCTATGAAAGATACCATAAATAAAACCCATGAATTAAAGGAACACTAATCACTTATAACACCTTATCTCAATGAAGTGGTCAGAGTGCAGTGTCCCTGTCCTTTTAGTTTTTGAGATACTCTAATGTTTGCAATGCAGGGTTACGTCCACCCTCAGTAGTGATCAGTACGCCCTATAGGCAGTGGTGTATTCTGATTTTGTGCTGCCCTCTGCATGACAAAACTCAGGCACCCCCTCCTCTAAATTTCACTTCCTGTTAAAAACCAACACACTCTTTGCCTAACAGAACACACCTTCACTGATGCATACACTGACATACACTTACTGACAAATACGCAGTCATTGTCACACACACACTGTTTAACCAACACACACTCTCACTCCCATTACCGACAGACAACAACTGACACGCATTCACTGACAGATACACACTCACTGTCAGACAAACACACATATGCACTCCGTGTCAGAGACACACATTCACTAACAGACAAACATTGACTGACAGATACACACTCTCAGTGGCAGACACGCATATTTACTAACAGAAACAAACACGCCAGACACAGACAAACACACTCACCAACAGACACACTGACACTCACCAACAGACACACAGTCTCACTGACACACACTAACACACTCACAATTTTTTATTTGCTTACCTTTTGGTGGGCTGGCAGGTGGACAGGCTCATATTGGAGGCGGCGAGGGAGCAGTGATCCTCCTGTTCAGCTCCCTTGCGCGCCTCTTAGTAATGCCGGAGCCAAAGTGACGTCATATTCCGGCTCCGGCATCACTGCGATGCACAGGGAAGAGCTCAGAGTGCTCTCTCACCGCCCGCATCAGCCCATGCCAGCCTCGGGGGGGGGCCCAGTGGTGGCCACCCAGCCATCTCCTGAGCCCCCCAGGACAAGATGCTGTCAAGGCATTTGCCAGGGCATTCTGGGGGGGTGGCTTTTTTTGCCACCCCCTAAAAGTGCTGCCCTAGGCAAATGCCTTGTCAGCCTCACACTAAATACACCGCTGCCCATAGGAAAGCATTGCACATTAGGTCCCCAATACTTATCTATGAGGAGCATTGGATTGGATCATCATGGAGGTGGCAGCGCTCTACAAACAGAACTAAGCAGCGCTGGGAAAATCCTCAATGATGGAAAAAAAAGAAAAAAAAAAGTAAGAAATGGGTTTTAACCCTTTATATGCCAAATGGGACAACTTAAAATCACTATTGATACAAGATCGTACTCCTTTAACATTGCAATGAATGAAGTATTGAAAATGCAGTTTGATGCATTCTCTGAATGACCTACCTCACAAACTATAAAACAGGAGCAGTTTATTAACACATTATTTTGAAGTTAGCCAGCTTAAAAATAATCTATGATGCTCTTAAGCCTATAATTACCTCTTTATACTAGTTTACTGGTTTAATAGATCTTGATAGACATTCCTGCAGTCTCAGCATTTTTAGAAGTGTGACATACAAAAAGATGTTCCATTGTTATTATTATTGACTTAAATGTTGGAAAAACTTATTTCTAACGATTTTGCATAAACACCGATTAGGTAGTATTTTATCAAAAATTGTATCAGTTTGTAAATGGAACTCTACATTTTTAAAAGGCTCACTCCTCACATATAAAAGCAGTTCAGCTTGGCATTTTTATAACCGGTGGATGAAACACCTCACTTGCGGTCACTTAGACATCCAATGAGATTTTCTTCTTCATCCAATAGGTCCACAAAGCTAACAGAAGCAACAGGGGTGCTTGGCCAGTGTGTGCGCCGGTCTCATCCCTCCCCAGCCCCCCCATTCTTAAGGAGCTGATTTACAGCTCATTTAGAAGCTTTTAAAAGCTGCAATCACATGCACAGTCAGTTTTATTTCCCCCCAACAATTAAATGTTGCTTTAATCTGTCTCCCCAACAGGCCAAACTATCCAATTTAAAGATATATGCAACTGAAATGCTCACCATCTAATTCAATAAGTAGTGGCCCCTTACAGCAATCTGTGCAGAGAGACACAATGTTTCCAAATAACAGCCAAATATTCAGGGAACTAGGAATCACAGAACCCCAGAGCAAGAATTAAAAAAAACTGCCCCATCTCGACCCTTGTTGCTCCCCTAAAGAGTTTAATGTGTGTAGTAGCAGTGTGTGACCGAGTGTGATATGCATGTGTGACGTTGGCAGAGTGGGATTGCGTGGCTGGCTGAATATGATTGTATGCTGGGTTTGGCTGCGTGTGAAGGAAGTGACCCCAAACAGTGCCAATCACTCCACACTAAGCATGGCAATCCCCCATACTGACACTAACATACTGGCTTCAATGCCAGCACACTGTCAGTGCATCCCAAACTCTTGTTGGGGGAGTAATACAGTGACAGGGAGCAAGAGGACCGGCCTGTCACTCAATCTAGGTCTAATGATGAGGATTTCATTGACTGTTTGCTGTACATCATTTAGTGCACCTCAGCTTACTAAGGTGTCCGGATAGGCATATAGATTTGTTTTTGTTTACTTTTAAAGAGCTTTAAATTAAAATCTATACCTTTGCTAGCACAATGTAAAGTTGGAATGTTATGATCTTTAATAATACAATACACATTTAAAAATACATGCAAGTGTGTATATATTGCTTGTATACACACACACACACACACAAATCACATTAATTGAAGTTTTTTTATATTGTATGTAATTATTTAAAAAAATTTACGTACATACACTTTTACTAACACATACACACACTCATTGTTTAACCAACACTCACATTCTCACTGAGAGACTTTCACAGACAAAAATTTAAAAAAAAAAAAAAGTGCACTCCACTTTCAAAGTTCTACTTGCCCGGTGCTTGTCCAGCAAAACACAGAAAAATAAAACAAGATAGCACTCCCAGGACTTATTCAATCAAAAAAAATATAAAACTTAACTTTTAATCAATATCCAAAAAACAGATCGACGTTTCAGTCTGTTAACCACAGACTTTCATCAAAAAACGTCGATCTGTTTTTTGGATATTGATTAAAAGTTAAGTTTTATATTTTTTTTGATTGAATAAGTCCTGGGAGTGCTATCTTGTTTTATTTTTCATATATATATATAAAAATTAAGTCTACCCAGCATCTCTACCATTGGGAGAGCAGGTGTAGATTCTCTCTCTAGGGACTAGTGGGGTTACTGTAATCTTTATGATCTTCCAGCACTGCTCCCTTGAGTGCCCTGTAGTAAAGAAGGTGCCGGAGTGACGTCATATTCCGGCTCCCAGCATCATTGAATGGAACAGTGTAGGAAGAGCAGCAAAATCAGAGCTCCCTCGCTGCCATCTCCAATTCCCACTCCAGGACTCAGTATTTTTCAACAGAGTTGGCGCCTGATGTCTGGGTAAGCAGGGGCCTACTCTGCCTTGCTCCATTGAAGGGCCACCTTAGGGCACCATAAAGGTGGCCAGCCATCCAGTACATGGGCACTTTGTGACAGGCCACAAAGGGCCAGGTCACACTCGCAACCTCTGTTCCGCCACTGCAAATATGCCGTAATACACAACACTTTGCATGTCTCTGAGTGTTCCTTATGTTGGCATCACGATTGCTGCATATAGACTTTTTGCAAAAGTAAAATGTGATAGCAGCCACACTGCAGCTGCTATCAGTTTATTGAGCTGCTGGGGATACTTATTCCATAAATCTCTATGTAACCGAAGTGGGTAATAAACCACAATTATTATTTATATAGCGCCAGCAAATTCCGTTGAACTGTACAATAAGACCCATAGACCATAATAAGAGGTTTCTGATTGGTGGGCTTCTTCCTGACCAGGGAGACGTGTGTCTGTAGCTCAGTGGCGGATCCAGAGCCTGATATCAAGAGGGGCATTTGAAGATTATTTAAATAAATAATCCAGGAACAATAACCACTACAGCTCAGTGTAGTAGTTATGGTGCCCGTAGTGCCATGATCCCATCCCAGAGTAAGTAGTCAAACCGTTTAAGAACAGTTTGACAACTTACCTGGGGTCTGCTGGGATATAGGGCATAGGAGCAGTGGTATGTGTTATGGGTGAAGTGTGTGTGAAAGGTGCAGTGTGTGTGTGAGCGGTGAAGTGAGTGTGCGCGAGGGCGGCAGTGTATGTCAGGGTTGCAGTGTATAGGTGTGCAGTGTGTATGGGTGTATATGGGGCAGCGTGTGTATGGGGGGCAGCGTGTGTATGGGGGGAGGAGGCTTTTACAATTTTTTTTTAATTTAATTAAAATAAATATACTTTATGTCCCCCCCCTCCCTTCTTACCTTTACTGGGAGGAGGGGGGACATTTCTGGATTCCTGGTGGTCTGTGGTGAATCCCTGGTGTCTCAGTGGTGGTCAGATGAACTCTAGCCCACGCTCCAGGGCTAGAGTTCACTTTAGCAAGATCTGGAGTGTTGCCATGGTAACCGCTCAATGCTCACAAGAGGAGGACCCAGAGGAGCTGCAAGCAAGAGCTCCCGGATGCTCTCTCCTGATCTCTGATCTCCCTCCCCAGTGCGCAGGCACATTGCAAGGCTGGCACTTTGACAATACCAGCCCTGCATTAACCGGCAGGGGAGAATTTGCCCTGTTGCCCCCCCTGGATCCGCCACTGCTGTAGCTATGAATAGCTTCTCTTGATTGTGGAAATAGAATATATCTATAGATATCCCATATGTATCACTGGACTTTTATACATTATCAAAATATACTGTTCTCACCTGAACTGGATTTGGCAGGACAAAGGGCATCAAAGCTTCCATTGGCACAATCCAGGGAGATATGGTGGTTCCAAAGTTTTTACTCAGAAACGGCCCAAGTGGAACATATTCCCATTTCTGAATATCTCTGGCTAAAAAGAATAGAGAAAGGTTACGAACATAAATATCTGAACCTTGACAGACATCCCATGGTAATGGCTAGTAACATTAAGCCTGTGGCAACTATCCTTCTCATGTGGCTTAGAACTCTTAACATCCGTAGCAATGTGGGAATGTCAGCCCACAGCCATATAATACACAATGTCGTCTCTTCATTTGGATTTGCTAGAAAATGCATACCTTCCAACGCAACACCAGTGGGTGGTTGTAAAAGGGGCGTGTGTGATGTGAATGCATCACTGGTCCTGCCTAAAGAGTAAGACCCACCAAGAAAGGGGGGGGTATCTGCTAGAATTACGATGCACTCACTCTCTGCTTGTTGGGGACTCCAGGGAACCTCGGACAGGACCTGAAAATCGGGACACTTAGGAGGAAAAGCACAACTGAAAGATAGCCAACATTGCTATTTTCAGATAAGTTGTGCCATACACCACACAAACAAGGTTTAATACTAATATTGGGGATTTAAAAGGGTATTCCAGAGATGGACACCTGGCTTACTGTGCTTAGAGGGATATCAGCTATACCTTGCTGATAAGGCCCAAAGTAGACCAAGATGATCTTCGAGGTTGCTGTATCACACATATAAAAAGGGAAGTTGTTGTCATTTTGGATCTGGATTGCCCTTATGGGTGAATCAGTCTGATATGCAAATGGTATATGTTCTCTCTGTAATGTCAGAAGTGTGAGCAAAAACTTTGAGAACGGAGCAGGGATTTGCCAAAGGACAAGCTACAGAGTATTCTGAGCTTTTGCCAGTTCTGTGAATTCTTATATGTTTTTCTTTTTTTTTTTTTTTTTTTTTTACTACACAAAATGGGGGGGGTGGAGGATCATTTACTAAAGTTAAAATCCAAAGTGAAATGTAAGACCAAAGTTGCTTGGCTACTTACAACGTTAAATTTTCACTTTAGTTAATGAGTAATAAGTTCGCTGTACATCATTTAGTGCACCTCAGCTTATTAATGTGTCCGGATTTGCATATAGATTTGTTTTTGTTTACTTTAAAACTTGAAGCTATCTGGCGTGCTACAGAACCCAAACAATGCTTTTAGGGCTATTCACTAAAGACAGAATTGTTCGGTATTCAAAGTGAATTTAAAGCCAAATTAGAAGAACCAGAAGCATAGCTCACTTGGAGAATTTTTGTTACAGCTCGGCTTTTCTGCCTAAAGTGTGACATTTATTTTGAATTGCAGATAATTCTCACTTTACTGAATAACCCTATCTGCATTAAATCACTGCTAACCAGTATATTCATGTGATATTAAACAAAATGAACGTTTCTTACCACTCCAATCATTCATCAATACCATCCCAAAGATGTGCTCGTGGGCTTTGTGAATAGGAATGGGATTTCCGAGATTGTTTCCAGGACCCACAAAGAAAGCCTTTGAGACAAAGCAAAACAATATTCAATATAGAAAGGTGGCATATTTACATAGAAAGTCATTTAAAAAAGCCTTAAAAGGAAACACTACAGTGTCAGGAATACAAACATATATTCCTGACACTATAGTCCTGGTATGGCTATTTAGGTTCCCAGCCCTCCTTGCCTTGCTTTGAAAAGGTGATCTTACTCACTTTGTCCCACCCCAGTCTCACCGCGGCTAGTTCCACCTCTGTGGCGGACATCAATCTTGATGCTATTGTGCATGTGCCTCAAAACGTCACTCTGCGCCAATTAGCATCACCTCAGATGTATTAAATCAATGCAACTCTATGGGAACAGTTCAGCGTAGAGAAGCTGAACGCCAGTGCTGCAAAGAAGAAAAAGGACAGGATCCTTCCACCATATACATGCACTATAAAAAAACTATAATAATATTATATAGATAGAGTCTCTATGGACTTTACTGCTTTACTCTCTGTACAGTGCTTTGACTTCATGAGACGGACGGTCAAATTCAAACACTGCTTGACTTAAGGTGTATGTATATGGCAGGTTTTTTTTTTTAAAATAAAAACACCCTTTATTTAACAAAGAAACCATTTCCTTTCAAAACTTTATGAAAGGATCGTTATAGTAAAATACATAGTTGAGGTGACAGTTCTCTTCTAAAAAGTTAGAAGGGACATTGTAAGCAGAAATTATCCCCCCCCATTTTTGTTCATGTATTAATTCATGCTAAAACAATCCTTTTTTGGGTCAGTCTGCCCTTTGTTGTGTCAATGGCATTAGGGATATGCATGAGCAAGAAATAAAATTTGGTTTGGAAATTCGGGTAAGTAAAAAAAAAACAAAAAACTATTTTTTTAAAAATGTGCCTGCTTCGGCAATTAGGACCAATGGCGTTCAGTTCAGCACTTCCGAACTTCTGCAATTTGGAACTTGGTAAGCATCCGAATGGAAGAAACGAATTGCACAGGTCTAGTAAGTGGTTGTGGTGGCAATCCTGGCACTGTGTGCCCTATAGATGTGTAAGTGGTTGTGGTGGCAGTCCTGGCACTATGGGCAGGGGGCTCCCAGTGCCAGGACTGATACCACAAACACATCTATAGGGCTCCCAAAGCCAGGAATTCGCTTATTGGTCAAGATTCCTGTCATCATTCACGTAATTTTTCCCTCCCTCTCTCGTTTTTCCACTTTTCACAAATCCAAAGCACTTCGGAACTTTGTCAATTCAGACCAATGTCATTTGGTTCGGCACTTCCGAACTACCGAACTTAGGTACTTCGGACATTCGTAAGCATCCGAATTGCATGAAATTCGTCCGAATGTACATTTGAAACGAATTGCACATGTCTAAAGGGGATGCTCTAGTCTTGACAGGTCTGGCTCCCCCATCTGCCTGTATACGTATCAGTGAATTGAAATTAGGTGAAAAACACAATTCCATAATTCACACCAAAATTAGTCTGATTAATGCAGAAAGTTCTCTTATGGGTTCCCCCTTATTCGGCTATTGTGTCTGAGATGCTGAAAGTTGGCTCGCAATTACAACAGTATTTATCCAACTGAGCCTTAAAGAAACACTAGAAACCATGACCACTTCATCTTATTGAAGTGGTTAGTGTGTTTGGAGTTCCTGGGCACCTTTCCACTGTTCATTGTCAAACCATTCTTGATCAGTTTTACACTGAATGAGGGCCCTGAGCCGAGCACAGTAATGAGTGGCAGTGATAAGCCAAGAATGTCAGCTGGGCATCCCCAGCATATCAATGCTGCTTATTGCCACATGAGTACATATGGTTAACTGCATTTGCAAGACTGGTGAATGGTGAGGTTCACAAGTAAAGCTGTCTTGTATTAAAGCAGACACTATATGCTTGCCTTAAGAATGCACCTTCCAGACCTTCCTGTTTTGCAAGACAAGGCTCTAGCAGCAGGCGGTATAACTCACCATTTCTAATTCAATATCCAGGAGCTTGCTGGCCTCGAATATAGGGGGCTGGTCTGAAATACAGATAGGGGAGGGAGGAGGAACAAAACAAAATAAATTAAAAAAATAAAGTTAAAATAAAACCAAATCCAATAAAAATAAATCGTGTTTTAATGTACCATCATTTGGTCTAATTTGTCCCCTAGGTCTTCGGATTGGCGTTCCTGACACCACTACAGAGGATGCCCGACCATGATACCCAACAGGAAGGTGTAGCCTATGAAACCACAAGGAGATTTTAGCAAATCTGAATATGTCAAATTAAATCAAATGTAGCTCAACTAGTTATTATAGAAGAAAAAAAATTGCAAATTTAAAATATTTTACTCTGCTTACCAACAGAATAAAAGCGGATTTAACGTATATAAAGCAGGGTTACCCAATTGAATATACCGAATAGGAGGCCGAAATTTCACCTATGATTTGGTTTTCCATTTCTTAATAAACTCTGCCAGGTACATTCATAGAATACAATTAGAAGTAGCAATAATGCGTATATACCTGGAGGACTCAGAATCCCATGGAGTAGTAGATGGAATGATGATCCAGACTGCAATCCAACCCTGCTCCAGCGAACAGGCATATTAAAGCAATGTTTTCAATAAGTTATGAAGGGACCACCAAATGTCCAGCTATGATTGACATCGTCAAGGATTTAATATTGGTAAATGCTAAATCCTGGAAGAACTACTATAGGGAACACATTTTGCAAACATAAAATGGCTTCAACTCACCAGTTTGGCATCAGAGCATTATCCTTCCCTCTGAACATAATCCCCACGTTTGTTGCATGATCCTTTGAAGAATAAAAATCTGTGTAATCTCCTGGGAGGTGTATAGACATAAGAATTAGCTACCTTCTCAAATATTTTTCTTCTTTTTCTTTCCTTGAGTTGCACTGCAGGGGTTTTTTTTTTTTGTATTCCTTTTAGTGCAACATTCATAATAACACACAATTTAATATTTAAATCCTTACTAAGCATCACAGGACTGCAGTCCAAAGCACCTATGGACCTAGAACCATTTGAACGTTCAAAAGAAGAAAAGAAATAGTACGCAAAAGTGGTAATGAAGTGCTAGTGTGTGTGCAGTTTCACTCATTTATTTTGAATTTCTAGAACTGTACTCCAAGGTCAGGGCATACACCTGTGTCTGTTTGGATAGGATGCTAACTGACTATAACAAAAATGATACAATTGTCACCATACTCTGTATTTACACTTCAAAACAATGTATTAATAGGTCATAGCTGCCCATCTTGCAAATATAGGCCTCTTTCTATTCCCCCCAAAATAAGGGTGATCAGGTTTTGTTTAAGGATTTCATTTTTATTCATTTTAAATTGTGTGATAAATTAGAGAATTAATTCAGCCATATTATCATTACATTTCTTTACAAGTCATTGACATACACAAAAACATGCAAATATATTTTTTCCATTTATACAATTTGTAACCGGACTTTACATAGGACACGAGGTCATGCGTTTAGACTGGAAGAAAGAAGATTTCGTCTAAGGCAAAGGAAAGGATTTTTTACTGTAAGAACAAGAAGGATGTGGAATTCTCTGCCTGAAGAAGTTGTTTTATCAGAGTCCATACAGATGTTCAAACAGCTACTAGATGCATACTTGCAAAAACAGAATATTCAATGATATAATCTTTCAAGGTAGGGTAATAACTGCTTGATCCAAGGATAAATCTGACTGCCATTCTGGGGCCAAGAAGGATTTTTTTTTCCTAGCTTGTTGCAAAATTGGAAGTGCTTTAAACTGGGTATTTTTGCCTTCTTTTGGATCAACAGCAAAAAACAAATGTGAGGAAGGCTGAACTTGGACGCAAATCTCTTTCCAGCTATGTAACTATGTATTTACCAACAAAATGGGCTGAATACAAATAGAAATTGGGGCTGACCAGAAATGTTAAGATTCTCTTCTTTCCAAGCAGTCTATAAAAAGGTTTATTTTAAGTATGTCAACATTATTATGGTACGGGCTGCTCTATACAGCTATAAAATACCGTGCCTGATGGGGTACTGGACAAATTGTAAAAATAAAAGTGTAAATAAATCAGAGGAGAGTCAATAAGCTAGTAAAAAAAATATAAAAAGCAGCAGATCAGGACGTGCAAAATTCCCTGCAATTCTCTTTGTTGAGTAGACCTTTATAACACCAAGTTCCCAGCAACAGTATCATGTATAGTTGGTATGCAATAGATACATTCGCAGCACAGCAGCTATATCAGGCAAGTTGGGTATCAGTGGCAATACAGTTAGTACAAGTTGAAATATAGAAAGACCTAAACAGTCAGAGAGTTGTGTCTATATAATAGAACATACATTAGTTCACAAACCAACAAGCTCACTGACACACACAAGCTCACTAAATAGAAGCTCACTGACACACACACAAACAGTACCATCTTACCTGCGTTATGGGCCGCTGAGCAAAGTCGTGCACTGGGGCCATTCGTACACAACAACTCACAGGAATTTTTTTATTTATTTTATTATCAATAAAATTAATCTTATATTTATTGGGTCGCCAACAAATTTATTACATACACACAGGCTGCCGAAAACACACATGCGCAGGCTGCGTGTGCACGCGTACTGTTGCTGGGAGGTCAGATACCCATCTTGGGCCTCTTCCTCCGACTTAGCAGGGGCAGAGCTTTTGTGCGGGAGATGGAGCCAGCATACCACAGCGGAGCTTGTGTCGTAGGGGCGGAGCCCATGTCCGCGAGGCGGAGGAGTCTTTGTGCCAGGCAAGCTGCTGGGAATTTGGAAGGGAGACTCTCAGTGCTCCCTCCGGCCCAAGCAGCCTCAATGCAGCTCCGAGCGTCTCTCCCCAGCAGCTTTAGTACCCCAGTACTAAAATTCCCTTGGACTGTAACAGGCTGTTCCAGTCTGAGGGAAAATAATAAAAGCACATGGCCAGCAAGTTGCCGGGACTGACCCGGGAGAGTGAATTGCCCGGGACAGACTCCAGCTTGCCGTGACTGTACCGGCAAAAACGGGACAGTTGGGAACTAAGTGAGATGAAGTGGTTTAGGTGCCCATATTGTGCCTTTACCTATAAAAGAGCCCCATCATGCCAGTTGTAGCACGTTTATTCAGAAACACAAGTGGTTATCCTGGCAAACACAATCATGAAATTAATTTGCATAAAGAAGTGAAGAACCTGCTTAATTATCATGTTAATTCACTTCTAGTGTGTGTAATCAACAATTCTTACCAATGTCTGCTGGCAGGTGAAGAATTGCTTTGGATTGTAGCACAAAAGCCCTGGAAATAGACAGATACATAATTAATATGGAATGATTGTAGCTAAACAACGGCAAAGATGTGAAATGATGAAGAAATTGGGATACATTTGAAGAAAAAAATATAAAATAAAAACAACTTCAAATTATCACAATGCGAACAAGCATTCTTGTGACTTGGTTCTGGGGGTGAAAGGGTTAATAAAATTCACCATTTGTCTGCACTAGACTGAAAAGAATGATTAAAATACCACTTATCACCACCCACACTTAACGCTAAATTAAAGAAAAGAAAAAAAAAAAAAAAAACTGCCAACATCAAGAGAATTTATAAATAGGATGACTTGGTTCCGCAAGCAAATTAGATTAAAAAAAAATTAAAGACACACACACCCCTAGCTACATATCGATTAAATAAAAGTAAAAAAATACTATTAGAGTCTCTTTAAGCAGTGATTCTTTACCAGACATAGGCAAAGCTTAATAAAGGAATATTTATGAACAGAAATAGCCACAGTGCATACAAGAGAAAAAAAAAATAAATAATAATTGTTGAAAAAACACTTTACATCAGCAGTTAAAATAAAAAACCCACACAAATCCAAAATGACTCACTTAGTTGTTACAGTAATGGCATCTTCTACCTAAAATCAGCTTTGACTCCCACGGCAAGCACACTTACTCATTTGCATTCTATAGCCCAGGGGTCAGCAACCTGTGGCACTCGGAATGCCTATCAGGAGTCCCAGTGGGGCTTCATATATCTGCTAGTAAAACACTAGCAGTGATTGCCAATCCACATACACAACCCCACAAGCAGCCTCTCATGTGCAATACCCCAAGCAGCCTCACACATACACACAATGCGACATATTATCCACACACAAAATTCCAAAAGCAGCCCATTTATAGGCATCATATACAATATCACAAACTATTAATGAACATATACAGTAGGGATGTGCATGGGCAAAAAAAAAAAAAATAAATAAAAAAAAAATTTGGTTCAGAAATTCGGGTAAGTAAGAGAAATCTGGCACATTCGTAAGCATCGCTCTCTTGTCACCACAACCACTTACATATCTGTAGGGCTCCCTAACCCTCGCTTACACACCTAGGGTTAAGTGTAGAGGTAGGGTAAGGTGCCCGGACTGCCACCACATCTATAGGGCTCCCAGTGCCAGGAATTAGCTTATTGGTCTAGATTTCTGTCATCATTCCATGTCATTTTCCCTCCCTCTCTTGTTTTGCCACTTTCAGAAATCCGAAGCACTTCGGCAAGTAGGCATTTCTGCCATTTGGAAGCATTTGAATTTACATTCGGAACGAAACTAATTGCACATGTCTAATATGCAGTATAACATCAGCACAAACACATTACAATGCAACTGCAGCACCCACAAATAAACACAAGCTCAATTCAGCAACATACACACCAAAACAAAAATAAAATTAATTAATTAAAAGGGGACCGTCGTGCCAAGGAACTTCAAGATCTTGTTTTGGCACAGTACTACTAAAAGGTTGCCTACCCCTGCCCTAGGGAAACAGTTTGGTGCCGAGCTTTGAAGGAAGAAGTTATTATGCAAAACCTGCCTTGTGATCCAACACATAGCACATTCCTATACAATCAATTAACCCGGTAATCAGCCAGGTATTCCATGTAAACACTACGCACATCTCATTTAAATACATTTTGTTCTATAGTGCAACAAATAATGCTTGCTGGCATGACTCAGGTCCATTACATGAAGTCTTTCGTGTTTTATAACAAGATGCTTAATGTAGGGCTACATTGGATAAAATAATGTCTACTAGCGGTGTGCAAGGATGTCCTTTCAGTTTGTTTCTGAATTAAAAATGAAAGGCAAGAATGTTTACTTGGGAGCATTGAGCAATTTGAAATAGTTAGTAGACTTGTGCACAGTAAAAAAATAAAAAATTACATTCGTCTGAATAAAATATATCAATAACATTTGTTCCTGGCAAATTGAGTTTTATCCATGTGGTGTTTTGGTTTGGAAAAAACCTTTGTCTATGCAATGGTTTTGGAAATATGATTTGGACAACCAAAATAACACACAAATACCACTTACTGCAAAATATATACATATATTTTACAATACACTTATAAGTGCATTTCACACCATCTGGCTCTTTATTCACAGATCTGGTTCACAAACCAAGTGAGACGTAGCCAACAGAGAGCAAGAAAAATCAAAAGGAGAAGCAAAAAAAATAAATATAAATATATATATATATATATATATATATATATATATATATATATATATATATATACACACACACACACACACACACACACACACATACATATACACACACACACACACACACACACACACACATACATATACATATATACACACACACACACACACACACATAAGAATATGCTTTATTGATCCGCAAACTCAATAAATGTGAGAAAACAGTCAGAACAAATACTGTTGCATGGGTATTACATCAATATGTAGACTTTGCATTACAAGCGAAATAAGGCAAAATAAACAGCATCAGTGGCATCAATGAGCTAAATTATTTGCAATTACAGTGGTACCTCCGTTTACAAACGCCTCGGTTAACAATTTTCAGTTTACAAATGAAAATCCATTGAAAAATAATGCCTCGGTTTATGAATTTTTTCACAATACGAAGCAAGTTTACCCAGGATGCATTGCACCTGGGAGGTTTATACCGCTGCCCCCATGCATGCTGGAGTCTGTGGGTAGCACCGGACATCAAGTGTGCAGGTGTTGGTGCGGTTTTTGCATAGAGTTTTGGAGCCATTCTAGAGTTTTTTTGCAACGGTTTTGGGACTTTTTGGAACTTTTTTGGTGCATTTCTCAAGCGGTGGAAAGGTAGGGAGCTAAACTTCGTTGTTTGCATGCCTTTTACTGTGTGTTATGCATTGTGGGTTGGTTTCCATGCTAGCTCATTCTGACCTCCGGAACAGATTAATTGGTTTTCAATTAATGCCTTTATTGCTACCATTGTGTGTTTTAGCAAACTAGCAGGGGTGAGATAAGAAGATAGAATTAAGGCAAGTGAAACCATACTTCGTGCTCCCACCATTTTTTGGCACCACAGGCAGAACTCCAAAGCGCGATATTCCTTTTTTCCAGAATCAGACAAATCGCTTTTCATTTGAAATCGTATGCCCAAGTCTAGTACTGAGACTTAATTTAAAGTCAGAATAGATACTATAGTTCCTGCACTAAGTACCCCCTTTTTTATCCTGGACGCAAAAAAATACAGACATTCATATCTCCAAAAAAAAAAAAAAAGCACAAGTATATTGTGTTGCTTGATTATATGCAATTTAATATAACATCGTCAAGTATCCCTTCTTACTTTTCCCGGAGTTCTTTGTTGTCTTTCAGTAATGGCTCAGGCATGCTTAGCAGTTTTTGAAGGAAGTGTCGAACCTCTGTCCAAGCGTTGTGCCCGAGGGCCATAAATTTGTTAAAGGTTGGCTAAAGGAACAAAGAAAAAAAAAAAAAAAAATTCATAATAATTTAGAAAATTTTAAAGATAGAGATTATAGATACATCCATCTATATATATATATATATATATATATATATATATATATCTCTATCTATCTATCTCTCTCTCTATCTCGCAGTTTCTTCTTGCACTAGTAGATTTAATTTTCTCCCTCTTTTGACATACTAAGAAGTTAATTCTTAGTTGTTCGTAGCATGTAACTAAAATAATCAAACTGATTAATTGAGGTTTAAACTCTAGTGCTTACATTCTAATAATGCCATGGGCATGAGCATCAAAGAGGTTTCTAAAAGAGTAGTTTATTTGGGAGGGCCATGAATTGGGATGTGTGTAGTAGGGGAGACAACTCGGGGTTAGATGAGCAATGTTCTTGGTTGCTGCAAAGTTCTCAACAGAAGAAGATTGTAAGATAGTCAGCGCATTTAGTTTGGGATTTAAGACCAGAACATTTAGAATTAACACACACACACACACACACAAAGAAAACATACTATACCTGATTGAAAACATCTTGGTTACTAGATAGGAAAGGACCAGTGAAGAGATGTCTGATGACACTTAGATCCAAGATTTGCTCTCCAATGGCAACTCCTACCCTGCGTCTTGGCTGCAATTTACACAAAAAAAAAAAAAAAGTTATTTCTATTAATTCCTTACACATTCACATTACGAGGCACATTGTGTAAATTGGAATAAAGAAATATGTTTCACTAACAACAGTCCACTGCTCTGTTCTCACATAAAGGAGGTCTCTCTGCATTTCAATGTAAGGTGGCAGCTAGGAAGAAGAGGGGATTATACCAGAAGCTATCCCTCCTCAGCACCGCCAAGGAGAATCATCATCATCAAGTAGTCCCATGTGTGCAAGAGTAGAAAACTGTAGAGATTACTGAAGACCCATTAGGAGCCTCCACAGCTTTTCTTTTGTATACACAACATCATGTTCATGGGCGTCCGCAAGGGGGAGGGGAGGGGAGGGGGGGGCCCAGGAGGGGCACTTGCCCCCCTCCCCCTGGATTTTTCAGCTTGTTCTGCCATTTTTCTTGAGATTGAAAATGAACTGCAATACCGGCGCCGGCCAGTAGGCGCTGTGTACGGAGAGAGACAGGAATAGGAAGCTACATCTTATCCCTGCTTCTCTCTGTTCACTGAGAACGCAGGGGAGCAGCACATGCAGGCAACAGAGAGCCTATAGATTAGGGAAGTGAGGCATGGGGGGGCAGCCTATAGATTAGGGAAGTGAGAAAGGAGAAGGAACAGAAATGAGCTGGAAGGGACAGCAGGGAGCTGGAAGGGACAGCAGGGAGCACAAAGGAACAGAAATGAACAGGAAGGGTCAGCAATGAGCTGGAAGGTAAAGCAGCACAAAGGTAAAGAAGAAGAAGCAGAAAGGGTCAGAAGAAGCAGAAAGGGTCAGAAGGAGCACAAACGTAAAGTAGGAGAAGGAGCAGAAATGAGCAGGAAATGTCTGCAAAGAGCAGGAAATGTCTGCAAAGAGCAGGAAGGGTCTGCAAAGAGCAGGAAGGGTCTGCAAAGAGCAGGAAGGGTCTGCAAAGAGCAGGAAGGGTCTGCAAAGAGCAGGAAGGGTCTGCAAAGAGCAGGAAGGGTCTGCAAAGAGCAGGAAGGGTCTGCAAAGAGCAGGAAGGGTCTGCAAAGAGCAGAAAGGGTCTGCAAAGAGCAGAAAGGGTCTGCAAAGAGCAGAAAGGGACAGAATGAGCACAAAGGTAAAGTAGGAGAAGGAGCAGAAAGGGTCTGCAAGAAGCAGAAAGGGATCAGAATGAGAAAGGAGCAAAATAAGCAGAAATGTAAAGGAGCAGAAGGATCCAAGGATAGAAAACAGTGTCAGAAGAAAAAGAAGACAGTCAAATGAAGGCGAGGAAAAGGAAATTGGAGCAGGAAGGACAAATGAAGTAAACCCTCCACATCATAAGGCTTTGGTACCTGGGCCTGGCAGGGAAGCTCTGGACCTTCTCATCTCCCCAGGTAAAAAAAAAAAAAAAAAATATCCATCATTGTTAACGTGTTCACTTTTATTTAGTTTTATTGTCAGGAAGCACAGAGTGTCGCTGGGTAGGGGTGTTGCTGATATGCTAGAGCGGTCAGCTGGCACTCTAAGCCAATCAGTAGCTCTCCATTCATAAAAAAGTAAAACATTTAGAGCGTCCACTCTTGCCAATTAGTGGCACCCATTCCTGACGTCAATCTGCACTTCCTGACACTTTTTCAGAAGCCGAACACCACTGAGCGACCTGGAGCTGGAGGAAGCCTTTGGGGTTAAACACACACAGGTGCTTCCTGGCATAGCATTTTCATTTAGGTGAAGTTGTTATGGTGACCAGAATGTTCCTTTAATTTGCTTAAAGGGACACCATAGTTGTGAAAATGCTATTCACCCTGGCTTTATGTGATAATGACTATGCCCCTTCCCTTTCATGACACTGTGAAAAAGGTTCCAAGCATGGGGCATAACCCAGTTATCATACAATCATAGGCGTGCGCAGCCTATTGCATTGGGGCTTGCACCCTAAAGCACAAACACACACCATACATACATACACACACAGCGGTGTGTGCTGGTAGTGTGCTATAGAAACAAAGAAACATAGAATGTGACGGCAGATAAGAACCATTCGGACCATCTAGTCTGCCCAATTTTCTAAATACTTTCATTAGTCTCTTATAGTTAGGATAGCCTTATGCCTATACCACTCATGCTTAAACTCCTTTACTGTGTTAACCTCTACCACTTCAGCTGGAAGGCTATTCCATGCATCCACTACCCTCTCAGTAAAGTAATACTTCCTGATATTATTTTAAAACCTTTATCCCTCGAATTTAAGACTATGTCCTCTTGTTGTGGTAGTTTTTCTTCTTTTAAATATAGTCTCCTCCTTTACGGTGTTGATTCCCTTTATATATTTAGATGTTTCTATCATATCACCCCGTCTCGTCTTTCCTCCAAGCTTTACATGTTAAGATCCTTTAACCTTTCCTGGTAAGTTTTATCCCGCAATTCATGAACCAGTTTAGTAGCCCTTCTCCGAACCCTTTCTAAGGTATCAATATCCTTCTGAAGATATGGTCTCCAGTACTCTTGTTAGTTCATGCTTACGCAATCCCAGGCGTCTCTTAAATACATTCAACTCTCTCCTTTGCCCTTCAAACTGAATTCTCCCCCATTTGCTCCTCCCTTTCGCTACCACACATCGACCTACCCTACAGGCCTTCTCCCCAGCTACAGAACAGGAGGTGGCTTCGCTTCTCCTCTCGTCCCACCACCTGTCCGCTTGATAGAGTACTTTCCCACCTTATCAGCCCTTGTCTTGTACCATCCTTAACACACATCCTAAACTGCTCTTTCATCTGGTGTTGTCTCGGCTTCCCTTAAGCATGCTACTGTTGTACCCATCCTAAAAAACGCCATCTCTAGACCAGTCTTCCAACTATCGTCCCATATCCCTGCTTTCCTTTTCCTCAAAACTTCTAGAAAGACTTGTCTTTATCCCTCCTCGATCCTCTTCAGTCTGGCTTCTGCCCTCTCCACTCTACTGAGACTTTTATTAAAGTTACAAATGACCTAATCGCAGCTAAATCCAATGGCCACTACTCCATACCAATTCTTCTTGACCTCTCTGCTGCCTTTGACAATGTTGATCATGGCCTCCTTCTCCTAACTCTTCAATATCTTGGTCTCTGTGATACAGCCCTCTTTGTTCTCCTCCTATCTCTACCAATACTCCTTCAGTGTCTCTTTTTCAAACGACACCTCCCCTCCTCATCCTGTCTCAGTTGGAAGTCCCTCAAGGTTCTTGGTCCCCTTTTGTTCTCTCTCTCTCTCTCTCTCTCTATATATTGCCTCTCTTGGCAAACTCATTAATTCATATGGATTCCACTACCACCTGTACACCGACGACACCCAGATATACCTCTCCTCCCCTGACCTCTCCCCTGCTGTCCTACAACGTGTCACCAATTGCCTCTCTTCTATCTCTGATTGGATGTCCTCCCGCTTTCTGAAACTCAATCTCTCTAAAACGGAGTTTCTTATTTTTCCTCCTCATAACGCTGATCCACCTCCTCTTTCACTTTCCCTGCAGGTTAACGGTACCTGCCTCACCCCATCCTTTCACGATCACTGTCTTGGTGTCATTTTTGATCCTGACCTCACCTTTGCGCCTCATATCCAGTCTATTTCTAAAACCTGTCGATTCCATCTTAAAAACCATTGCCCACATACGCCCCTTTCTTATGCAAGATGCTGCCAAGGAGCTTGTTCATGCTCTAGTAACCTCTCGCATGGATTACTGCAATTCCCTCCTAATTGCTCTCCCCAGAAGCCGTAATGCTACAATCTGATGAATGCTGCTGCCAGGCTGATCTTTCTCTCCTGTCGCTCCTCTCACATCTCACCCCTCTATTAATCCATACACTTGCTTCCTCTACCCTACATGTGTCAATTTAAAATACGAACCTTTACCTATAATGCTCTAGCCAACTCTAGCCCCTCTTACATTTCTTCACTGATTCATAGGTATGCCTCCTCTCGATCTTTCCGCTCTACTGGTGACCATCTCCTGTCTTCTGCTCACATACTTACGGCAAATTCACGCATGCAAGACTTCTCACGAGCTGCTCCTATCTTTTGGAATAGCCTCTGACAGACTCTCCCCTAGTCTTCAATCCTTTAAGAAGTCCCTCAAAACCCATCTTTTCAGGATTGCTTATGGCCTCCAAGATTAACTTCTCTCTCTCTCTCTCTCTCTCTCAAACCTTCCTCTTGCTCTCCCCTAAAAAGGGCCACACTTGACTCACCTCCAGTTCTGCTACTTTCCCACCATGTCTATTTGCTGTCTCCCTCAATACCCATCCTATTGTGGGTTTATATCCCACCTTCTCTATATTGTAAGATCGTTCGAGCAGGGTCCCCAACAACCTATTGTTCCTGTTACATTTTGTGGTCTCATTTGGTAAATTTCCTTCTTATTGTAAAGCGCTGCGAAATAAGCTGGTGCTATATAAATAAGTAATTCTCAGTATAGGCTTTATTAATAATCATCTAATTTCGGTCTTACTTAGTGGAGATGTGGGAAGGAGGCCTGCCTTGAAGCAGTGAAGTTTGGTGGTTGGGATACAGGCTGAATATCAGTTTGGTGCACTGACACAGAGGCTTTTCCTCACCTTACTAATAAGAGACCTCTTTTCAAGTAGATTGGTGGCTGAGATTTGTGGGTCTGTCAGTTCCAACTTAAGGCTACTTTTATAGTGGCAGTTTAATTGCTAATGGTGTTAGATATTCCAGTTTTAAACATTTTAGTGCTACCTGCAGCCTACTGCCCCAAGTGCCTATATATTTGTGATATGGATTAAGGAGCACCTTTCACCCTTATATCCTGTGACACACTACACAGTTGATTGAGTAATGTCAGGATGCTCTATTATAAGAGCTGGCCTTTGATCCTAATTTGTATCTTCTTCTTGTTCCAACACTACAGCTAGTAGTTGTTCTGGGGTCTATAGCTTATATCTACAGACCTTTCAATGTAAACACTGCCTTTTCACACATATATATATATATATATATATATATATATATATATATATATATATATATATATATATATATATATATATATATATATATATATATATAACACACACACACACACACACACACACACACACACACACACATACATACATACATACATACATACATACATACACAAATAAATAAATAAAATAAATAACATTGCTGCCTAGTAAAAATCACTCTGATGGCACTAGAGCGTCTCCACGCTCTGTATGGAGGGGCAGAATGTTCCCCATAGAGATGCATTGATTCAAATTCTCGTTTGGTGGAGGCAGGTGTCTAAATAGACACACCCACACACTTTAATTTTAATTGAAATGCACTCAGTCTTTGATGATCCTCTTCTCCCTGTGTAAAAATAAATAACAATTTAATCAAATTAACCCCTTCCCTGCCAATTGATCACTGACTACAGTGATCAATTGGCAGGGTATACATTTTAATGTCATCTGATTTTTTTTCTTTTTTAATTCTCGGGGGTTAAATTTATTTTATTAATTTAAAAAAAATATATATTTAGCTAGCTGGGATGGGATGACTTTAGTAGGGAATTGGGGAATTTGGTGTTAGGCTAACTAGGGGTTAATAAAAAAAGTTTTAAAATAAGCTTTAAAAAAGGTAAAAAAAAAAAACAAAAACAAAAAAACCCTTTACTCAGTCTAAATAAAAAGTAACCCCTTCCCTGCCAGTTGATCACTGCCTACAGTGATCAAAATACAGATCGCCGTATTATACTGTTATCTAATTTCTTTTAACCCCTGAGGATTAATTTGTATTTATTTTTTTAACCCTCAGGGGTTCAATTTATTTAATTAAATATTTAAATATTTTAAAATGATATATTTTGCTAGCTGGAGTGGGTGGGAGTTATGGGAAAGGAGGGAATTTACTGTTAGTGCTGCTTACTGCTAGTTAAGGGTTAACGGTAAAAGAAAAAGTTTAGAAAAAAAAATGTAAAAGTGTAAAAAAAAAAAAAAAAGTTAAGAACGTGTAAAACATTTAAGAAGAAAAAAAAAAGTTAAAAAAAAAAAAATTATGGCTATTAAGCTTACAAGACAAACATACCAAATTCTAAAATCGCTCCACATTAAAAGTTTATTTTACTCCTTGTGCTTTGTGACCTGTAACTATCAAAAAAAACTTAAAATCCCAGACACATTATATATTCTGTAAATCAGAACAACTAAATGAATTTATTTTTAATTACTTTCTTTAACCTGCACTAATTAGCACACATTATTATTGCAAAAACTGTAAAAAAACACAAAATCTTTCTTTTGTTTTGCATTTTCTTTTTTTTAATAATAAATATGCATATATATATATATATATATATATATATATATATATATATATATATATATATATATATATATTTATTTTTTTTTATTTTTTTTTTTATTTTTTTTTTTATTATTATTATTATAATATGTGTCGGTGCAATAAACGAGAGACATGCAAATTGCAGGTGAACGCAAACAGCAAGAAAATGCAAAAATTGCTTGTGTCATTAAAGGACCACTCTAGGCACCCAGACCACTTCAGCTTAATGAAGTGGTCTGGGTGCCAGGTCCAGCTAGGGTTAACCCATTGTTTGAGAAACTGCTAGGTTTATGAATGGGTTAAGCTTTCCCCTATTTCCTCTAGTGGCTGTCTCATTGACAGCCGCTAGAGGCGCTTGCGTGATTCTCACTGTGAAAATCACAGTGAGAGCACGCAAGCGTCCATAGGAAAGCATTGATAATGCTTTCCTATGTGACCGGCTGAATACGCGCGCAGCTCTTGCCGCGCGTGCGCATTCAGCCGCATGGGAGGAGAAGAGGAGGATCGGAGGAGGAGAGCTCCCCGCCAAGCGCTGGAAAAAGGTACGTTTTTACCCCTTTCCCCCTTCAAGAGCCGGGCGGGAGGGGGACCCTGAGGGTGGGGGCACCCTCAGGGCACTAGAGTGCCAGGAAAACGAGTATGTGTCCTTAAAAAAAAAAAAAAAGCTGTGTCCTTAAAAGAACACTATAGTTCCCTAAATTACTTTAGCTAAAAAAAAAAGCAGTTTTAGTGTATAGATCATTCTCCTGCAATTCCACTGCTCAATTCACTGTCATTTAGGAGTTAAATCACTTTGTTTCTGTTTATGCAGCGCTAGCCACACCTCCCCTGGCTATGATTGACAGACCCTGCATGAAAAAAAAAAAAAAAAAACTGGTTTCACTTTCAAACAGATGTAATTTACCTTAAATAATTGTATCTCAATCTCTAAATTGAACTTTAATCACATACAGGAGGCTCTTGCAGGGTCTAGCAAGCTATTAACATAGCAGGGGATAAGACAATCTTAATTAAACAGAACTTGCAATAAAGAAAGCCTAAATAGGGCTCTCTTTACAGGAAGTGTTTATGGAAGGCTGTGCAAGTCACATGCAGGGAGGTGTGACTAGGGTTCATAAACAAAGGGATTTAACTCCTAAATGGCAGAGGATTGAGCAGTGAGGCTGCAGGGGCATGTTCTATACACCAAAACTGCTTCATTAAGCTAAAGTTGTTCAGGTGACTATAGTGTCCCTTTAAGGGGTTAATGGGACAGTTTAAGCACCATAACAACTTCATCGAAATGAATTTGTTATGGTGCCAGGAAGCCCCGGGCTCACTCTTTCCTCAAGGGGTAAACTGTTGAGAAAGGTATGTTTCCCCATTCACAAAACTTGCTTGGAAAAGTCACTGATTGGCAGAGAGCATCAGTTGATCACCTTCAGCCAATCAGCAGCACCCCTGTCCGGTGACACACTGCACTTCCTAAAACCTAAACTTCAGAAGTCAGATGCCTGAGGGGAGCTGTAATTGGCGCTGCAGGCAAGTTTGGGGTTAAACCGTTGGAGAACAGTTTAACAGCTAGATGTAAGAGTGAGCTGGGGTGCCTCCTAGCACCATAACTTAATTTAGATTAAGTTGTTTTGGTTATATAAAGACAAATGTGTGAGATAGGCACTAGTATTGTTTTGGTGCCTGGAGTGCCCTTTTACATATGCAAACACTCAAAGTGTTAATCCTTGCACCATGACCATTTCACTGATTTGAAGTGTTCATGGTGGCTGGAGTCTGTATGTACAGCATTTCACATTGAAAAACTGCACATACCGAGTTTAACCCCTCTGCTGCCAGAGGTGTAACCCCACCTCCATCTGTGTCATTTGGGTGCCATCAGCCAGCCTGGAATTAGAGTTCCGGTTTAGCTAATGTCAATGATGGGCAACCTCTGTTGCACAGAATTGCATTAATTAGCAGAGAGAGGTCAGCTGATGCACTCAGCCATTGCATGGCGAAGGCTGCGGCTATGCAGAAGCGCTTCACCAGACCATCCGAACCCTGTAAGGAGGAGACAGGTAAGTGGGCAATCTGTTTAGCAATTAACCAGGTCAAGGTACTTCTAGCACCATATCCAGGACACTGGGCTGTAGTGATGATGATGATGATGATGATGATGTTTGGAGTAACATTTTAACTGGGTTATCAATACTCATTATGTACCACTTTATCTTACTCTTGTATTCGTTTGTAATTATTGTTGCCTTTTCTACGACAATAAAAACATTTAATGAACATACATTTTTAAGAATAGGGCATTGCTTCAAATAGCGTGTACTGCAAATACGCAAAGGTTCACAATGGCCTTACACAGTCAGAGGAATATAAAAAATGGTTCCACACATGCAATAGCACATTGTTACAAATTAATCTAAGTAAATTTGTGATTTCCTCTGCTATCAAGGAGTTGCCAGATCCGCTGTGTCCTTACACATATTGATGGAAAGCTCACGCAAACTGCTGGCCTGCAGAATTCTGTATTAAAATGCTCCCAAAATCAACTAGGAATTTACAGCATATGAATTCTACATACAGTGCTTTCTGTGTAATGTCTATCAGCATATAAAAGTGAGGTGTGTACAGCAAGACTATATCTGGCATCTCCTCCAGATAAATATCTTGCAACAACAACTCACAGGTCCCAGATCAGGAAAGTCCTATTTTAGACCTACAAGTCATTCATTTTCTTTCCAAGCATAGATTTTTGGGACGCTTTTTCGGTGTATGCAGTGTATACAAAGGCTAACCTGATCAGATGTATTTTAAGAGCAGTAACATAAATTCCACAAAAAAATTTTTTTTTTAAATATATATATATTATAAAGAATATAAACACATTAGCAAACATAATACTAACCTCATCGCATGTGGAAAATATCCCATACGGAAGGTTCTGAATGGGGAAGTCTGAATTCTTATCTACGTGGATAAAAGACATCGCTCCCAGTAAGGCAGACAGTGAAGTGAGATTTTGGGAGCTCCAGATGTATCTGGGACACAGTTATTAAGGCCTGCTGTGCCTTCCTCCTCCCAACCAATCCAAAATTAGAGAGCATTTCCACCCACAGCAAATGTCTAATCACAACCAGAATCTCAGTGACTCAGCTTATTTCCCTTGAACAAAGTTCAAACAAACTGGTGCAACTCGTCCAATTTTAAAGCATCCAGTAATAAGATTCAAACTGTAATTGTATTTGGCATAGTTAAACCCAATGGCACAAACGTGCCTGTTATACTGGCTGTACAAAATGCACAAAGAAATTAGCTCATTGAGTAGTGAATTGAAAACTAAATTGCAAGAAATTGCCCAAGCCTACCCTGATTCAGTATTTATTTACTGTATAAAGCTAATTGATGGGTTTATTGAATAAAACTGTGAATAGTGGTAAATTGAAAACTGAACTGCACAATTAAGGCTTACATAGTCAAATTGTGAAATCTGAGTTGGAGGATTCTTCTAAATCAGCTATTTTGGCCTACGTTTTGGATTTTAGTTTTCAATGCTCTGCCAGTTGCTGTTTAGTAAATAAATCCATAAGGGAATAAAGGCTTGGTTATTTTACTATGGTTTTTCAGCATAGTTTTTCAATCAACCACAACTCACTGTTGTAAAATTATTATTTTATGTATTGGCATTAATTTAATTTAAACAGGTATATTGTATTTTTAAGACTTTGCAGTCCTTAAAGGCATGTTCTAGGAAGAATACCAACTTAATCTTCTTGAAGTTGTTATAGTGCCTAAATAGTTCATCCTTTTCCTTTCCTCTAGAAATGAGTATTTGAATAGTTTGAGGGTTTGAAATTGGGGCTTCAAGCCATCCGAAGAGGAAAACTGGGACTCTTACTTCCTGTTTTTCGCACCCAGTTATGTGGAGTGTCGTTTACGACTAGTCGTAGAGATTAGTCGTATTCAGTGTGGATCACTCTGCTCTTCTATGAGGGTCATTGGATTGGAGACATCGCCTAGAGGGTGATGGTTGCACTAGGAGAAGTGTTCAGTAGCGCAGAGGGAGAATTGGCGCTGGAGAAAAGGTAAGTCAAAATTATTATTAAAAAAGTATTTTAGTGCAAACAGGGGATGGGCAAGGACACTATAGCATTAGCAATGCAGGTGTGTACATGGTATTTTGCAACTAGAGATAAGTCTATATTCAATATCTTTATTTAATTTCATTTAAAAGTCTCTCTTCCTCACCATATTATCCAAGCCACTTTTTGGCTTCCTTTGTTCAGTTTTCAATTTGACTTAAATCATTTTCCAAATTCAGTTTCCCGACACAGTGAATGGGCCTTAGAATTATGTTTAATCGTGGATTAATCTAAAATTTTACTTAATTCATCTCAGATATTACAGTGATACAGCGTCAATGCATCATGCAAGGGAGTGTTGGAAGAAGACAGAAAATAAGCCAGTGGTGGCAAACCTTTTTTGAACCCAAGTGCCCAAACTTGAACCTTGAAACACATTTATTTATCTCAAAGTGCCAACACTGCAATTAAACACAAAAGAGGTTTTTTTTAAAAATCAACTTATGGACCAGACTCTGAATGTGCATTTTACATATACATAATGTTAGGTGCATTTATAGTATATTTCAAAAGGATAAATAATACATTTATATAAAATAATAATAAAATAGAAGACACAAGTTTACAGAGGTGTTTAGACTACAGAGTGCTGATGTTCTCTGTAATGCCTATCAGCATGTAGAAGTGATATGTGTACATGACCATGACTAGATTAACTGTTGAATGGAAATTAGGCACTGAGACAGACTGGTTTATTACAAAGTCCTTATAGAGGGATTGGTTCACCACCTAGAAACACTCTATAACTACGTGCAGGATCTATGTACCAATCAGGGTGCCCAGAAACTTATCATCGGTGCAAGTTAGGTGGAGCGCCTTGGGAAAAATGTTGGGGATTATGGTGAAAAAAATAGAACAGAAAGGGATAATGTGAATGCGTATTTTCTTTATATTTATATGCTTAATTGGTTATTAGGTTGTCCTAACACTACCCAGTGGCTAAAAAAACCACTGAGTACAAAGTATCGAAATGTAGATGCTTTGAAGCAGTCTCTTACTAACTCAGTAAGTAAGGGCTAAAAATAATGTGTATTTGTTTTATAATTAGAGCACAAGACTCAGTTTCAACTAGGTAACACGAAAGGGGGGCCCTTTATAATTTGCTATATCCCTAGAGCCCCTTCTACATTGAATACAAACTCACCGGAATATTGAGGGTGTAGAAGTTGCTGAAAACATCTTTACCGTCTCTGCGTATACAGATTTTGTTATCCTCATCTTGACCAACTTGCTTTCCACCTTTGGCCACTTGAACACGATTCTGAACTCCTTTGGGGAGTTCTCAGGTTGTAAGGCTAAATCAGTGGCATTGCCACTTAACCTGTTGGCCGTGTACTCGGCACAGGTGGAGCCAACATACCAGCATTTACTCACTTGGGAGTTAAGATTACCGCTGACCCAGCATAACTCGTTCACCACAGCTACAGCTCATGGTCCACACACTAATTAGAGACATGGACAGATGGGTAGATAAGCCAAAATCAATGGATGGGGCATCTCCATTCCGTTAAAATGAACATGTTATCAAGTCTCTTATTTCAGTCTCTCACAGTCAGGATCTCCAGAGGAGATTTAGTGGGTCTACAAACCGCAATAGATGAGTTCATTTGACAACGCAAAGTTCGCAAACTGGCCAAGAGCTTAATGTAATGACCAAAATCAGCAGGAGGACTTGGCCTGCCACACCTATATTTTTATTACTTTGCAGCACAGTTGGCACAGGTGATTCACTGGCACTCTACCCCTGACCAAAGGTGTTGGGTGGCCATAGAGTCCCTCTTTATGCGGGGAGACCTATTGCAATTTTACATGTGGGTACCTAAAACCCAGACAGCACTCTTATAGAGAACATGTCTGCCATCCTCAATTGTCTCTGATATGGTTTGCAGTGGATGCAAGGTATTTTCTGCAGTGGTATCCCTCCCTGATGACTCCTTTTCTGAGAAACCAGACATTTCTATCTAGCATGCATACTAGAGACTTTGGGGGCTGTAGTGATGCCAGGAGCTATAGAGACTAGGTCACCTAAAGACCATTTTGAATGCCTCCAACTTTGAGATTTTAGAAAGAAGTTAAACAGGCTGCCCATACCCCTCTGACATTTTTAGAGAATTTATGCATAAAACAAACTACTCTGGCTATATTGATTGCTACTATACCAGTGGCGGAACTCCTATATTCAGCATGAGTATCACCGCCAGGTATTCGCTTACTTGACTACCAATACATCAGTTCCTCATCTAATGAATAAGGGAAACTTAGATATGTGGACTAGTGGGAAGCTGACCTGTGATTGGTGCTTGAGGGGGGAGATTTGGAAAGAAGATGGGAAGCTTGTGCTAAGTCTTCAATGTGTGTAACTCTTCTGGAACAGTCATTTAAAACAATGTTCTGCTGGTACGCCACACTAATCAAGCTTTGTCACATGGACAGGATGGCAACAGACACATGTTGGCATCTATGCAGGAAGAGCGGTATTTACTTACACATGTGGTGGTCCGGCCTGTGGGTGCTGGGTTCTGAAGGGAGGTGAACACGTGGGTAAATACAATTTTCCAAAGATACTCTGACTAAGAACACTGGGCATATCTGCTTTCTAGGCCCACAGAGGGATTGTCCACCTAAGAGTAGAGTCTCTTTAATATGACTAACCTAGTGAATGTCCCAGTCGTGATTGAAGCCCAAGGTCCCAGGTATAGCACAGGTTACCTTTAATATAAAATACAATAGCCTAATGGACAAGTTAATATCTCAGGTCAGAAACACACTATTCACATTCAATAAGATTTGTACTCTATGGACGCAATCTAAGCATTTTGGGAATTTTGTAATTCTTTTTATTTTTACTTGTTAAATTCAGTTAACCCTTCATACAATCCAAATATCTAATGTGCACTTCACAACATAAAACTACCTATTGAAAATCCCATTGCCTAAAATGTACCAACATATTATGTATTTCATTGTTATAATATCACATCGTAAAACATACAGGCCTATGTACATACGGTGTAGACATGTACTGAACAACTGCCTTTGTATCTTGGACGTTTAATTAAAGAATTAAGAAAAATAAAATCGAAATATCTTGCATCTATATCATTTCTAGCAGTTTGTTGAGCACAAGAGATTTTTATTGTTCCATTGGATAATGGCTATGTTAAAAAATATCAAACAAATGACGAACAGAGAGTGGTACTCAAACAAGCCAACCATCTAGAGGATATAGCTTATATTATTAGCAGATTAAAATGAGACTGTCATATTAAGCACAACATGATCCCTTTATAAAATGTCTAGAGATTGTGATGCAGCTTTAGCTTAATATGGAAGTGATGGCTTTAAATGTATTCCATTAGAATGGAAAATGATATATTAAATTTATTAACTGTCAGTGAGGGTTTGAAAATTAGAGATTTGCATTTATTACTGGAAAAGTGGAAATAATTTATTTCACAAACAGTAACAAACTAAATGAAAGGTTATCAATAGCCAATCACATGCAGATATAGACCATATTAGTTCTATTCATAGAACTTTTTTTTTTTTTTAATGGAGAAAAATTAGGTACTTGAACCGTATGCTTCATGAAGAAGGAACTCCCCATTCATCCAAATGTTCCTTCTTTAGAAAGGAAGACATGAGAGAAAATAATGGGCATAACAGGGCAAAATAATAAGTGTATCTTGTCAACATAACTTTCCATAATCCTTGTTGTAAATGTTTGATTTTAAGCCCCTATAGGGCATTGTTGTGTACAGGTGCCAATATAATTGCCTAAATATAAGCAGCCAGTCCCAAGGCTGACACCTGTAAGGCTACTAAGTCATTGTTCAGATCATTAGAGCGACCATTTTTAAAAGGATATTGGCTGGCATCGAACTATTTTATATATATATATATATATATATATATATATATATATATATACGTAAATGCAGCATGCCTGAAATTGTGGGAGG